AATTTTTATTTTATTTTTTTATTTAAATTTTTAAATTTATTAATTATTTTTTTAATAATAATTAAATAAATAAAATATTTATTTTAATAAAATTTTAATATTTTATAAAATATAATATAAAAAACGTTTAAAAATTTAAATTTAAATTTTTAATTTTTATAATAAAATAAAAATATTTAATTTCTTTTATTATAAAATTAATTTTAATTTTTTTTTATATTAATAAAATTAATTATTTTTTAAAATTTTATTTTTATTTAATAAAAGAAATCTTTTTTAAAATAAGTAAAAATTTTTTATTATTAACATTTTTTTTTGTAAAATATAATAATATTTTATAATTATTTTATTTATAATATTAATATATCTTTTTTTTTTTTTATATTAATTAATATTTATTTAATTAATTTTAAATAAAGTTTTTTTATTTAATAATTATTTTTAATTCTTAAAATTAAATTTAAATTTTTTGTTTATTTTTAATTTATCTTTTTTTTTTAAAAATCGATTTAAGTTTAAATTAAAATAAATTTTTTTACCATAATTATTTTAATTTAATTTTAAATATTTTAATATTAAAATAAGTTTTTTTTTTATTAATAAAAAACTTAAGTTAATAAATATATTTTTATAAATTTATTTAGCTTTTTAAATTATTGTAAAAAATTTTTTATTAATATTTAAAATCTTTTTTTATTTAAAATAAATTAATTTAATAATTTTATTTAAAAAAGTTTTAATAATATAATTTTAAAAAATTATTTTAAATTATTAAATTATTTTATTAAAATTTATAAATTTTATAATATATTAAGTTATATTTTTTTAAAGTTATAATATTTTTTTAAAAAATCTTTAAAATATTTTTTTAAAATTAATATATAATTAATTTATTAATTTATAAAATGAAACCGTTTTATTTAATTAAAACGTTATTAATATTATAATTATACTTTTTTAATAAATAATAACTTTATTTAATTAATATAAATATAATTTTTATAAAAACTTTTTACGTATATTTTTAAATATAATTTAATTTTTAATTATTAAACATAAAATTTAAATAAATCTTTATTATTATAAATAAAAAACTTATTAAAATATATTAAATTAATAATAATAAAAATAAATTTAATAAACTTTTTTAACATTTATAAAAATTTATTTTTTATTAAATTATTATATTAAAATTTTAAATTTAATTTAAATTTATTTAAAATTTTATTATAATAATTTATAAAACAGTTTTTAAAAGGAATTAAATAGATTTTAATTATTATTATTATTATTTAAATTTTTAAGATTATTTTTAAAAATTTTTAAAGTTATTTAAAAAGAAAATTTTTAATCATTTTTTTTTAATATAATAAAAAATCCCGTTTATATAATTTTAAATTATATATAAATATCTTTTAATATTTATTAAACTTATATCTTTTATAATATTTAAATAAATAATAAATCTTAAATTTTTTTTTTAAATTAAAATATTTTATTAAAAATTTTTTAAAAATGGTTAATTAATAAATTTAAAATAATTAATTAATAAAAGGTTTAAATATAATTTTTTTATTTATATTTTAAATAATTAAATTTATTAAAATATTTTAATTATTTTTAAATTTTTTTTAAAATTTAATTAAAATAATTTTAATATAAACTTAAAGTTTTTTTATTTATTTTTTAAAAATTTTATTTAATTATATTAAATTAATATAATTTTTAATTAAAAGATTTTATATTTATATTTTTTTTTTTATAATTTAAATTTTTTTTTTTATAATTTAAATAATTATTTATTTTATTAATTATTATTAAACTTTTTATTAAATTTAAAAAGTAAAAAAAGTAATATATTAATTTTTAACGAAATTTTTAAATTTAATAATTATAAATTATTAAATATTATTATTTTTAATAAAATAAATAATAATTGTCGGTAAATAAAGTTTAACGTTAAAACTTTTAAAGTTAAAAATAAATATACCGTAATAATAAAAGAAAAAAAAGTTTATTAATCATATATTTTTTAAGATTTAAATGCGTTATTTTTAAAGGAAATAACGTTTATATATAAGCGTATATAAGTTACGTAAGTTATTATATGACTAGCACGTGTTCGGTGCGTAATTAACGTATAATTACGTTTTTAATAATAATTAATTTTATTTTTTTTAAAAATAATAAATTAAATTATTTTATTTATTATTTAAATTAAATAATTTAATTAATTAAAATAATAATATTAACTTATTATATTTATATTATAAAGTTATATATATTTTATAATTATAAATAAATTTATTTAAATTAATTAAAATTTCTTTTATTTTTTTTTATTATATTAATAAAATTTTATAAAGATTTATAAGATTTTTTTATTTATATATATAATTAAATTAATTATTTAAAAAAATTATATATTTTAATATTAATTTTTTTAATTTTAAATATTTTATATATAATTATATTATAATTTTAAAAACGGTATAAAATAAAAATATTATTTTTATTTAAATATATAAAATTTATATTAATTAATTAATTAAATAATAATTTTAATATATTAAATCGAATAAAATATCTTTTTTTTTTCTTTTTATTATATATAATATAAAAAGAAATATTATTTAAAAAATATTAAAAAAAAATACTTTTTTTTAATTTTAAAATAATAACGTTACATTTTATATATTTATTTATATTAAATCTTTTATAAAAAAATTTAAATTTAAAAATATTAAATTATTTATTTTTTAATTATATAAAAAAAAAATAATTTTAAAAAATATAAAATTAAATATTTAAAAATATTTTAATTTTATAAAATTTTAAATTAATAAATTTAATAAAAGGATTAATATTAAAATTATAAAAAAATTATAAATAAAAAAAAGAATTTTAAAAAAAATTTTTAAATTTATAAATTATTAAATTAAAATGTTAATATAAAAAATAATAATTAATATTTTAAAATATATATATATTTTTAAAAAATTAACTTTTTTTAAAATAATAAAAAATTATTTATAATAAAATTTATATTTAAAATTTAAAATAAATTTAATTTATTAATAATTTTTTAAAATTTTAAAATCTTTAATAATCTTTTTATTTTAATTTAAAAAAATTAAAATATTATTTATAAATAATTTTAAAAAATATAATTTCGTATTTAACCGTTTTTTTAATTATATATTAATTATTTTATATTTTACTTTATATTATCTTATATTGTTTTATAATGCATATTATCCAATAATTTTAAAAATAATTATTTTAACCGTTTATTAATTTTTAATTACATTCGTATTTTAATTAACAAGTCTTAACCATGTTATCTGTGTAACACTGCGTATATGACTGCTAAAATTCTGCAGCGTGGAAAGACATGTACCATTCGATATGGAAAACCTTCGATAGCAGGTTTGGTCCAATCTTGAATAGTTTGTTCAAACGACGAGAGTTATTGGAAAGTGAGAAAAGCTCCGCAACTCTTGACGAGATTCACCAGCTACGCAAGGATATTTTGTCTAAGTATACGGAATCCCAGCTGGAAAGGGACAAAGAACGCCTAGAGAAGCACAAGGAACGAGTATCCCGCATTAGAGAAATGTTGAATGCTCCAAACTATCAGATTGACCAAGAGATGGCTGCGGATAATAGACTTATCGACAGCTCGGGCCAATGGATTTTGGAAAACAAGGAGTTCCAAGCTTGGTATAATCATACTTCGGGACATAATATCCTATATATCAACGGGATCCCAGGTGCAGGTATATATAATCCTAATCTGATCTTGGTATAAGTTACTGGAACTAATCGTATCCCAGGCAAAACAACTTTAGTATCAGCGGTGATTAGGAAGCTCCTAGACAGTAGGCGTTCAGGGACGGCTAGTCACTGTGTCGCCTACTTTTATTTCAAGTATCAGCAACCTAGTAAAGAGTCACACAATAGTCTTCTTCGCGGCATTTTAGATCAGCTCATCATCCAGGACCCCGCCACGTCGGATCACTTGTTCAGTAAAATATCGGCAATGGATCCAACATCACTACGGCTGACAAGAACACTAGAAGGACTTGTTAAGGAAGCCTTGGGAAGCCATCAAACTTCTTACATCGTAATTGACGGCCTCGATGAAAGCGCCGATAAAGAAGCGGAGAAATCAGTACGATGGTTCTTATCACTCATAAAAGGACTCTCAGAGAACACTGCCACCTCATTGCGCATTTTGCTGAGCGGCCAGCGGGATGGTATCCCATACGGTCTCCTTGCCGATAAACCATCCATAAATTTAGACGACACTCCCCATACCAAAGATATCGAAGGCTATTGCTCACATTTCTGTGAACGAATAGGAAAAAAGTTTGATATTACCCACGAGGTTCAAGAAAGCATCGCTCTCCGTGTAGCGAATAGCGCAAATGGTAATACACACCGAATAAATTAGACCCTTGACTGGTATTAACGAAATCACAGGCATGTTCCTCTACGCCCGTGTGGTCTTAAACAACTTATTGAGTCAAACAAAGCTCGCCGGCTTAAACAGAGAAATGCAATGAGACACATTCCCAGAAGAGATTAATAAAGCGTATGACATTAGCTCTTAAGATCAAGAATAGAATAAAGCTAATTAATATTCTTGCTATAGATACGAAAGGGTAATTGTGCGCATTTTCGAAGAGTCTTCTCCTTCTGAACGCGAAGATGCCAAGAAAATATTGGGCTGGATTGTTTGTGCCGCACGGCCCCTCAGATGGCGCGAGATTCAGTCTAGCTTCTGTATTATCCCGGATCATGGGGCCGTTGAATATGAAGAACAAAGACTTAGAGTCACATGCAAGGAACTCTGTAGATCCCTTGTCGATTTACATCCTGCCAACGATGGAAAGGACAGCCCAGAGGGTATTATCAGTATTGTTCATGAAACCGCTCGAGAGTAAGTCGGCATACACAGCTCTTAGGTCGTAACTAATTTTGAAAGATACCTCATTCGAAGAAAATTGCTCGATACTAGCCTCGAGCATGCTAGACTTACTTGCTTTTTCTCGAAGTATCTAGCATCTAAACCGTTTAAGTGTGGAATTGACCGGAGGAGTGTCTATAGCCACGCTATCAACGGATACTACGGCCTTCAAGACTACGCTGTCCAGCATTGGTTCTACCATGCTAAGGAATGTACCGAAGCTGTCGGAAAACTGGACCAAAGTACGTTCCGGGTAACAATAAGAGCAGTTGGGACTCTTCTTAAGTCTTACAGCTCTTTATTGAAGCTGAGTGAGCATGATACTGCCTATGACGAAGAAATTGTCGAAATCCTCAAAGGCCTTCCTGATGATGGAAAGGAGAGGAACACGTATTTCACCATCGAACAACAGACAGTCCACATTCGGGAGACTATAGAGACACTGAAATACGCTGATCTAGAATCGGCAAATCGGCAGATATTGGCGAACCTTTATGGTGCAATGGCCATATACAAATGTCCTAAACCATGGTGTGAATATTTTGCAACTGGATTCGAAAGCATTGAAGAACGCGAACGGCATTATGATCGCCATTGCCTTCCCTTTCGCTGCAATTTCGAGGAATGTCCTATATATATCCTCGGATTTGACACTCAGCAGAAACTGAACCAGCATGTAAAACTCTACCACCATGAGGCCGATGGTAAATTGGAGTTCCCTGAACTCCGTCGCAAAAAGACCCTAACATTTGCGGAAGCTGTTAGGCGAGGTCACGTAGCTACGATTCAAACATTTCTTAAATCTTCAGAAGACATTCATCGTCTACAGTTGAACTGTAACCCACTACATACAGCGATACGTAAAGGTCACTTACAAGTTTGCAAGTTGCTACTCGAGAATGGCTTCGATGTGAATAAAGGGACCAATGATTCTTTTGGAATGACGCCACTACATACTGCGGTCCAGGAAGGGAACCTTGAAATCGTTCGCCTTTTTCTTACTCAGGAGAAATGTCTACCAAATTTAGCCGATGCAAACGGGGTCTCACCGTTCACAACTGCTTGTCAAGTCGGCAATTTATCCATCGTCGAGCTGCTGTTTAAAACGGGGGAGATACAAGTTGATCTACGCGCACCCGACAACTATACTGAGTCAAGATCTAGATTAACGCCACTCGAACACGCAGTCCAGAAAGGACATGCTCATGTCGTCCGATATCTTATACAGGAGGCGCAGGCCGGTCCAGTTACTCGAGAGATTTTAGCCATTGCTGTTTTTCAGGGCCACGAATCTCTCATCCAAGAAGAATTGTTACCGGCCATTGCAACTTCGCCTCAGGACAGCAAACAAACGGATCCGTACAAGAGTGGCTTTCCTCCCGATTGCGTAAAGCTAGGGACCCACTGGTTTGTGATATTCAATCAACATACCCCCCGCCTATATGACGTGGATTTACACCACATACCCCGAATTACAAAGCCTATATCCGCCATATTCAGTGGTTGTGATAAATATGTTGCTTCAGTCCATGAAGATACCATCCAGCTTTACGATATTATGACGAGGCAGGCCTACATTTTGTATAATGGACCCGAGAGCCAATCCATGACCCTTCGGACATTCAGTCCGGATAGTAAATGGTTGGTTGCTGCCAGTTACCATAATGAAATCTACGTAAGTTAGCCCCTCCCTAGAAACTACCTGATGAGGTACTAAACGATTTAGATTTGGGATATTGCAAGCAGACAGCTTCGTCATAAGTTCAATGCTCAATCTGGTTACATTAAATCAACCCATTTCACCAAAGACGGACGTATATTATCTTCCCATGTCCATTCCGATAAAATTGAATTTTGGGACGTTAATAAACATACTATAGAAAGAACCTTTAATGTGGATCCTGCTCGTATCGGTGCAGTTACTATATCTCCTAATGATAAATACATAGTTGCAGGATCATCATATGGTGAAGTTTGGGTTTGGGACATACATACTGGAAATATCGTCCAACATCATGAGAAACAAAGGCAGGGTAATGGGATAACCAATATTTCCTTCTCTCCTTACGATGAGGACGTTATTTGTTGTACGACGTTTGAGGGTTTTGAGTTTCGGACGCTAGGGGGTCAACGCCTTCACAGCATAGTCCTCGGGACTTATCATCATGTAAGTCTCTCGCTGAACAAGCCAATTTTGGTATTCAAGAAGCTGAAGTATTATAGTCTTATAGCGAATCTTACGCTTTTGGACCAAACTCCAATGCTGTTATATTCAGATATATAGACGGCGGCGTACAGGTCCAGGATATGAAAACTCACGATTCTTACCTCAGACTCCAAATTAACGACTTAACTTCTGATATGAAGATAATTGCAAGTCGAACTGGAAGCTTATTTGCAACTTACGACGAGAACAACTTTTTAATTTGGTCATACAAAAACGAAGCTACATCTAATTGACCTCGCATTTCTTTCATCTGTCACTCAATCGCCGTTTAATCTATTCAAGTTGTTAAATTTCTAGAACAGGAGATAGCTAAAACTAGAGGTTACCCCCCGGGCAACACAAAAGCCTAAGGTTTACACCGCACCATGTTTCTATGCTATTTTCATTATTGCTACATATTAGCGACTTACCCCTTATTAAACTGGAGGGTACCCCTACGATAGCCCGGATTTACTGCTATTACACGGCTGGACAATACTTTTAATACCTTCGAGACCTCAGTAATAAAGAAGTCTTAAACATATGCATACGCAGACCTGTTCATCTTTTACTGCTTCCTATAAGGCAAGAAAATTATCTGTAAGGTAGCAAGGCATGTGTCCCAAATAGGAAACTTTTACTCGTATTCAACACACAACACATCCTAATGTAAATAAATAAATAAATAAACCATAGGCATAATAAAATGGAAAGCCAAAGGAATGCCATAAAAAGCCTGATGCCCTAAGCACCTTTCATAAGTATATTAAGTACCTGAACTATACAGCATAACAGTAATAACTTATCTACGTCAGTCTCCTAATAACTTGAAATATAAGGATATCCAGAGAGTAAGTTGTGCTTTAAAAGCTTCGTTTTGTTAAGATATGGTTTAAAAGCTAGCAAGCCCAGCATAATTTACCTAATGTAAATGAACTCACTCGCATTTTATTAATATCAATTTTCTCAAAAGATCCGTCCATCTCCGTCTATTACATCAACGGCGTAGTATATGACAATTGGAGCTTCATATCTACCTCATTAAGGGTTATTATGCGTGGTGATACAGGAGATGCCCCCCTTGATCCATCCAAGGACTAATCCTCCACGCAATAACGCAGCATATATTCTGCGAGCCTCGCCCAGGCGTCATCGCTCACAGCGCCGCTTCGCGCTTACTTGCCGAGGATGCCGATTTAGAGGCGTCGGTCCGTTGGTGCGCAGATGACTGCTGGATCGCGGCCTACCACACTTGCGAAGCTATGGCTCGTTGGCCCGGATCTGAGGAGCCCAACGAGACTGGTTTTGCCGTCGCTAATAATACCAACCTTCCAATGTTTGACTTCCTCGTAGCACACTCAGATCGTGCCGCCCGCTTCGCTGCAGGTATGCATTTATACGCTACGCGCCCGGAACTTCACGTACGGCATCTTCTCGACGGTTGAGCGTGAGGCAACCTCCCAGCGAGCTCCACTGTGGTCGACATACGGGGTCTCATGGCGAGGCAGCAATAGCGTTGGCACGCACCTTTCCATCGCGCAACCTGGCTGTTCAGGATATCGGCGAGCCGACGATTCGCAATGCAGATGCATGTAAGCCGGCTGATGTCGGCGAGCGCGTGCGATTCATCAAGCACGATTTCTTTACTGAGCAGCCCGTGCACGGAGCCGACGTGCATTTGTTCCGGGCCTGTTTCCACAATTGCCCCGACAAGTATGCCGTGTGCATGCTTCGGGCACTCATTCCAGCTTTGAAATACGGCTCGCATGTAATCCTTAACGACGTTGTGGTACCGGGGCCCGAGGAATTATCGCCAAGCTTGGCACCGCTAGTACGAACTGGTAATCTTAACATGATGATGCTGTTTAACGCGAGTGACCGCGAGATGGTCGATTGGGCAGACCTGCTTGAGATGGCAAGCTCGGGATTTCACTTTGAAAGCGGGAGACAGCCATCGGGCTCCGGGTTACGGGTTTTAGTAGCTACGTAACCTAGAAGGGTGTACAGTATAACCAAATCATATTAACCTAGTCAGAATACTTACATGCCGCAAGTCGTAAACTCAGGGGTCCGTCCCCGTAACCGAAGCTCTTAATATAGTTTCTTAATACAATACCACATAAGAGATATATATCCTCCATTGGATTATGTTGCTGAAGGTTAGCATTATCTTCGATTCCCACCCGCCGGATCCCCCAGCCAATTCATCCCATTCGCCGACGCCACCCAATTATTCCAATCAACCTCGCCGTCCAAGTCTACATTCAGATCCGCCGTCTCCAAATCCACATCGGCAAACACGTCAACCGACGGGTCCGCATCAGCCCACAGCCAAGCCCCGAAGCCTGGTCCTAAGTCCATATTAGAAGTTAAAGAAGATGATCCGTAGGCCGGACCAGCCGATTGGATTCCCAGTGTAGCCGAGCTATGAGGATTCTGTTGAAAACCAAAGTTCGGCCCGGGGAAACTCCCGCCGGAAATATTTGGCGGAAAAATTCCGCTTCCCTGCGGTATTCCAGACTGGGGATACGCGAACCCGGGTACCGAGGCGCTTGGATAATACGAAGAAACGGAGCCGAATCCCGGTCCATTAGTTTCTGCAGAATATGTAACACCAGGCGGCACTACAACCCCTCTACTGAGCTGAAGAGCCGTCTGTGTATAATGCCCCAGGCTCCGTGGTACCGTTACGAGCTGCCGCCATCGCTCACGGAAAGTCTCGGCGCTGTCGGGACCCGGAAACGGGCCCGAGCTACTCGGTTGGGTAACACCCCTGTCCTCCGTCTCCAACTGCCGCGCTGCCTGCGGGTTAGACCGGAGCCGCTCAATCTCGGCTTCGCGATGCCGCCGGGCCTTAGCCATAAGTTTCCGGAGAGGAACCCAGAAGCGCAGGTTCTTATCATTACTGCTGCGAGGGGGGATAAGCCAGTTGCTATGGAGCGCAACCCACGCGCGTTCGACAAGAGGCGACCAGGGGCGACGTGCCATTTCAATTAGGAGATACACGACGGCATACCAATGTGTATATGTCTGGTAAATCCAGCGCCATTGGCGACAGGCCTGCTCAGCATTGAGCGTGTGGTTATACTCGGCTACTTCAATCGCAGCTATGAACAGCCTATTGCGCATTTCGTCGGAAGCGTGCTCGCTTTCGGGCGAGAAAAGCACGGGGAAGTAGACTATTAGGCTCATCTTGGCCATTACAAGTCGTGCGATAACGACAACCACCCAGTATGTGACGTTTCCCTCTGCGCTGGAGTATTGGAGGTATGTTTTCTCTAGCCTCTCGTAGTACTCGTTTAGTAGGCGATCCTGGACATCTATCTGCGGTACCCCGTCTTTAAGACTCACAGCCATCATTTCCCTCGTTACTTCGCACTGAGAGCTAGTCATGAGAGAGAAGGTCATATCGGTTATACCCTCTCTTTCCTTGGGCATTTCCTTTTTTTCAGGGTCGATGTCATCATCGTTAATGTTTAAAGGCTGCCGCGTGTCGAAACTGCCGGGGATGATAGTGAGGTCCATTCCTTGGTCCTCAGAAGCCCTCACATCAAGGAGACACACGTGCCACCATAGTCTTCGTCGCATTTCGGCTTCAAAGGGGGTAAGGTTGGGGAAATGGCTACCGTCACGATGCAACCCTAGAGCTAGAGCCATCCTTATGACAAGTCCTGTCATCATATAAACAAACCTTGGGCTATCATATCGACGAGCCAAACATAAGAATATAGCAAACGCCTGTATAAGAACTACGTCGGGAACATTTAGAAAGTCTGCTTTTGCAAGCGCGTACTCTAACCCTAGACGGTACTTCAGGTTAAGTTCGGATTTAGAAGAGCCAAGATTGGCTACGACCTGTAGAGCACACGATATATGAGTAGGTATTTATTATAAGTATATAGTTTGATGAGAAGCTTACATCTTCCTCCTCCATGGAGGTTATGGCAGAATAATATATAGCAAACATTAGAGCCTCGTTGGCCGGTGTGAGGATTGATGTGCCACTATCTTGTATACTCTGCACCATCTTGTTCAATGTAGGCATATGAACCACCTGAGTTAAGACATTGACGTTTTGATAGAAAACATTCACGCTAAAGGAAATCTGGGATAGCGGCGGGTGCAACTCGCGAATATTAGGCTGATGAGGGCTAAGATTGTGGCCGAACAGGAACGCGTGGCGTTGTGAGGGCGTCCTATCTAGTTCCTGGGTAAACGGGGTCTTGCTAAGTGAATCCTCGTCCTCGGAACTGTCGTAGTCCCCACTAGCAAGACCTTCAGTTTCCATTTTGAGGCCTTCAATCTATTATATATATCAGCAACTCGAACTCGAACAGCCTCGATAGTTGTCATTGTTTGTCTCGCCTTACCTCGTCGTTAACGCGCGACCAGAAGCCATTGCTTACGTAGTGACTCTGGCCAGCATCCCCTAGAACAAGCCTACCAAACTGCTTCGATAGATTAGAAGAATTCGTAAAAGGTGGCGAAGCCGTTTGACGATCCGCATCATGATCATGGCTAGAACTCCCCGGCGAGTTTGCTGAAGGTGAGCCATGGCTGCTCGTATTTGCAGCGCTATGCGCTTGCTCCAACTGACTACTAAGTTCTTTCACAAGGTCTTCGAGGTTTCGAAGTCTGTCCATAACTTGACTGACACCCGGGCCGGCCTCTTGCTCAGCCTTAGCATTATTCGCAATGCGCTCCAGCCGACGAGCCCATCGCGGGGGCTTGTCCGACGAAGGAAAAACGCAAGGGATTCTTGCGCGGCGGCAATTTGAACATGGTGATGTCTTGTCACATCGTACCTTTCGTGTGCGGCACGTGACACAACTGCGTGGCTTTGGTCCAGGTGTCGCGGATGTTCCCAGAGAGGTGCCGGGTCGGGAAGCGTTCGCGTTAGTTTCGGAGGATTGGCCGACGCCAAGGCCAGTCGACGCTAATCCCCCTGAAGCATCCGGGGTAGCTGTCGCATATTTGATAGTCGGGACGTGCGACATATGTAAGTAGAGTACCTATCTATTTTATTATGGATTACGCTACGACGAATCAGCTCTTCGGCCAGAGTTTCATGTGGTCTTTCCTTACATTGTCTACAAATTTGGGTATATGGTTCATGTAGTTAAAGTGCCTAAGTCATAAAACCAAAAAGGAGTGGCTTCCGTCAGCGTCAGCACCGAATAGGGGCTAGCACCCGGGCGTAGGTGTGCCAAGCCGGGGCAATTGCGCCCCGAGTTACCCGCACCTACTCCGAGAACTTCGCGAGAACTTGCCAGCACCCGAATAGCCTCATCTTACAAAACAAACAGGTAAGCGTCTAAGTAATTATAGGAGTCATTCGGAATTAGAGACGATAAAGATAATATGTATATGATAGACTTGTCCAATATTGTATAAGACACTTCGACAGCCAACACTACTTAATCTTTGTAACAGCAACTTCGTGTCAACCGCTCGTATAATCAAGTCACCACTCATACAGAGAAAATTACTACTACACTTTAAACCCAATATTTTACTCATTATTCACTAACCCGGACCATGGCTTCCAAGTCAGTTGCTTTCTTCGGCGCAAGTACGGGTATAGGTCTTTCGGCGCTAAAGCACTCACTCGCTGCCGGTTACCAATGCGTCGCCCTCTGCCGTAACCCGTCCAAGCTTACCTCAGTATTGACAAGTGAGAATGCGCCCAACCTTAAAGTCATACAAGGAAATGCGCATGATTCTGCAACCGTCACTCGCTGTCTCGAGGCTTCGGATGGTAAACTTGTTGATGAGATAGTTTTCACTATCGGAGGAAAGCCTATCCCTTCAAAAATGACTATTGACGATCCACACGTCTGTGAGAAGGGAATCACAACTGTTCTTGATTCTATCGCCACACTCAGAGAGCAAGGTGTCATTGGCAGACCACACATCATCGTATGCAGTAGTGCCGGCATGTCCAAGTTCGGGCGGGACATACCTGTCGCCTACGTCCCGTTATGCTCCCTCTTTCTCAAGGTCCCTGGCGCAGACAAGAAAATCATGGAAGATAAACTCGCCACGAGTGGTGAAGACTTCACCGTCGTGCGGGCGGCTATGTTCCTGACCGACGGCGAGACAGACAAGCCAATCCGCGCTGGCATCGAGGACCCAAAAACCGGTATCGAATCTAAAGCTATCGGATATAACATCTCGAGAGAGGATGCGGGAAAGTGGATAGCACGGAATCTTGTAATACAGAAGGACCAGAGATATCTTAACAAGACCGCGACGATCGTCTACTAGAGGAAATGCTTGGAGTCCGGACGCGATGTATATAGTTGTACAGTTGTACAGTAAATTTTGAGTGTTTAGATGTTAGCAAAGGATGGAAATTTAGAATACCTGATTGTATTGTATTTAGAGAAACAAACAACTATAACAAACCACATAATCAGTTAGATATAATTATATAGTCTTACAAGTTCTGCATTGCTTGAAATACCCCTTGGAGATATAAACGGTTCGATTCAAGATGTTACCTAACATCGGATCAAAGCCCTCATAACCTTAACCACCAACAAACAAGCCACATAAGCACCGCCACATCTGATAAGATCTCCATAACTGAGTAAAAGCGGAACTACGGAAACACGCTAGAATCCCATCAATTGATGTCGTCACCTATTCGTTCCCGACTATCGGTGGCGTCGCTTCACAGCCATCAAACTTCTTAAAATCTTATACATTTTCACCTCCCACACCCAATTGGCCTTTCCTCATTCTCCCAAAATACGCTTTCAGCATCTCATAACAAGATAGATACATCCCGGATCCTCTCTCAGAACTAAAACGACATCGGTTCGGGATGAGGCATGACATTCCGCTGCGCAGTGTCCGGGACCACTTTGGCCGCTCACGCAGTCCGACCGCGCCGATATCTACTATACGCCTCTTTTCTTGTAGCACCAACTGCCAGCTCGACAGTCAAGCAGCAGCAGCAACGACAGCAGAAGCCGTTCCACAGCACCGCGGGCCTCCGAGATGAGCAGATCGACAACTCCCGGAACCACTATGAGACACTAAAACTACAGCCGGGCGCAACGCCTGCTGATATTAAAAAGTGAGCATTTCTAATTCCTGTCCCTGCCAGCTACATAATATCCCATTGCAGGTGTTAACCCCCTATGTATTTACATACCTAACCTGCTCCCACCACCCTCTAACAAAACACACAGGTCCTTCTACGCCCTCTCCAAATCCCACCACCCCGACGTCAACCCCTCCAACCCGCACGCCTCCCGACGCTTCATGCGCATAAGCGAAGCCTACTCCATACTCTCCATCCCCGCCAAGCGCGCCGCCTACGACAGGGACACCTTGCGCCTAAACCACCCCTCCTCCTCCTCCCCTTCCTCTCACCCCCACCACCGCGGCTCCTACAGCAGCACCAACCCCGCCGGCGGCCGCCCCGCTTCGGGCCTAAGCCGCCGCCGCGGCACTTTCCAGGGTCCCCCACCGAGTTTCTTCCGCAGCGGCGGCTGGGGCTCCCACGGCGCCAAGCGCCGCGCCGCGCACGATGAGAGTACTGGGTCCGCTTCTTCTTCTTCTACGTCTCATACCTCCTCCGCAGGCACGGACTCCTTCGGCTCAGGGGGTATGGGACCAGGGCAAACACCCTTTGGCCGCGGCGCTGAAGATGACGTCCCGCACTTCGACCGGGTATCGCATGAGCGCACGGGCCGGCATATTGATAGTCGGCGAGCGGTGCGGCGCGCGCACCTCGACAGTCAGTACATCAACGTCGAGCCGGAGCGGAGTACCGCCGGCATGTTCTTCCTGATTGGCGGTGTGCTGGTGCTGAGCGTGTTGGGTCCATTCGTGATCAGTAGGATATGGAATCGGGGTAGTGGGGGTGGGGATAAAAAGTTGGAGAGGAAGGGGAAATAGGATTCGTTAGTTCGGCGGCGCAGTAGAATCGACCGCCTGCATTTACTATACGTCACAGCGAGTAAAATTTTGAAGGAGAATGCGGAGACAAAGAAATCTCCCATGATTACAGAAGCGCAAAGAGTTCTGTATATTCAGAACGATGCGAATATTAGCATCTGGACGGCATCGAACGTCCGAGACGTCTAAGTCTACAATTGAGATATTTTGACTCGTATGAGAAGAATCCTGCTTGTTTTGTAGAGCATACAAATAATGACGAAAGGGTATTGGGCATGATTCCCGGGAATTCGTCTACAAAAGTCCGAAAATACTCCTTTAGCCTTGGACTAACTAATCTAGCTCTCGAAGGTGAAGCTGGCGCCGACCTGTTCCTCTGTTAGATTTGGAAAACTACAATCAAGCGTCAGTGATACGAACCTTGTGGGTGGCCTGCTCCAGCTTCTGGGTGTCGAAAGAAGCGCCGAGACCTAGGGTAACGCCAGGGCGGAGAAGAACGTTGTAGGAGACGGCAGCAACTCCACGGTCGTTGATCTTGGCCTAATTTTATTCCGTTAGCAATTTCCTAAGTTACAGAGCCTGGTTGGATCGAGAATTGAACAGACCTTGGCGAAGGAGACGGGGTCAAGACGGTACTTGCTGGCAACCTCGAGACCGACGGCGCTTCCGCTCTTGGAGTTCCAGGTAGCCTTAGCACCGGCCTCGACCTGGCTGTTCACTTTGTGGTAGTAGCTTGCCGCAAAGACGCTCAGGTTGTCAGTGGCAGTGACGGCAGCGCTGTACTGAGGGGCAATGTAGCCGACGGCGGCGCTGTAGCCGGTAACAGCAGCCTTCTGGACATCATATCCAGCCGAGGCACCAGCAAGGAAACCTTCGTGACCGATAACAGCGTCGACATTGGCAGTGGGGCCGTTGAGGAGGTCGAAGAAGGCGCGGCCGTGGAAAGCGGATTGCTTGAATGTAAGGTTGAGCTTGACGCCCTTCTTTTGGGTGGCGGGTAGGAAGGAGAAGATGGACTCGGCCTTTAATCCCTTGGCGAGAGTATCGGCGAGCTCAACCTTGGTGTCGAGGGCGTTGGCCGTGTTCCAGGTCTGAGTCAGAGTGAGGCCTGCGCGTCGGTATAGCATTAGTAATTGTGAGCCTTGTTGACTTAGGAAGATAGAGAAATCGAGAGGCCAGCTTGGAGCTTTTATTCCGCACAACGATGCTGTGAGTGAACTCGCTCGACGTCTCTTTTTGGTGTGCGACTTAATAGTTTGGGTTGGAAAAATAGTGGTTGTATTACCGAGAGACTTGTCTGTGTATTTGCCCTCGATCTGCAAGCGCGTTTGTTAGTCTTAAGTATACTTCGTCGCGGGATTACCCCCATAGCTTGCACGTAGGAATTGTCTTCCATTGGCAGCTAGCTGACAAGGCAAGGTTGGGCTGAGGATACGTACGGCACCGCTGGTAGCCTTCTCGTGGCTGCTCTTGCCAGTGACCTTGAAGGCGACATTGTTGGGGGTGTTGCTTTTAACCTCGATGGTTCCCGCGGAGAGGTGGTAGAAGTCCTTGTTCAGCAACTATAATTGTTATGGTTAGAACGTATCTGCGCAACGAAATCGAAGCTCGAGCTGCGGGAAATTTGTCGAATATTCAGCGGCAACAGCCGAAGTGGGACAGCTTCGGCATCGGAGCTGTTTGTTTTTTCTGTTTTTTGTTTTTTTACTCACGTCATTTGCCGACTTGGAAATATCAGCGAAGGCGGGGATAGACATCTTGGGCAGATTGGTTCGCAGTGCGAGTATTCGTGGTTGAGTTAAAGGTTGGGTGGTGGGAAAAGAAGAAAAAGTTTTGTGGATGTGGAATTGGTACAAGATAAGTTCGGATTGGAAGAACGCAAGCCTCAACAACTTCGTAGGACAGCAGCGAGGTACAAATTTGTTTTCTTTGGCTCTTTCCTTGCCGGGTTCTTATCGGCAACCCAAATTCAGTAGATTCCGACTAGAGCGGCTGAGCGGGAAGCTAGTTGGAGAAGTGACAGCCGGCAGAATGCATAATGACAGGATGTGCCACCTGGTAGTCCCAATAAACATCGACTTTGCAGTTATTATCACATTTACTGTCCAATTAGCCCCTGTCCACGTGGGAATTGTCTACACTGAGAGTGGTTTAAAGCACCATAACCGTGAGACTACAACCAGGATCGGTTCAATGCTCTATGTATTCATTGCAGTAGTTTCTTTGGGTTAGGTTATCATAGTACTTCACAATGACAAGAATTAGTCTGATTTATTTTCGTCCTCAAGCACACTATAGTATATAGTAAGACGAATATGCTTGCTGGCAAGGCAAATTTCTATTGGTATTGTCACAGCCAAGGTCTAACTTCATACCCCTACCAAGAGACCAACCAGTCTTAATCTCCTCATACTTGCTCAGGATTCCCCATAATGGTGCAATTCAACATCGCTACCTGAGTCATGCGATTCTATCCCTAGTAAATTGCCCCTCTTATCTAGACTATTGAAGCCTTGAACCATGCGTCTCTACTTGTTTCGTATCATTTACCCAATATAGCAGGGCCATATTTATTCGGTTTCGTTATACTTGGCGACGTGCGTCGAGATAGCTCTGCATTATATATTAGTACAAAACAACTTCGATAAATACATCAGAATCATAATAACTTACCGTCCGCTAGGATCGGTCTGCTTTGACCAAGTCGGGGTCCATCGCATCACAGTGGAAGCGCAGTGAGGAGGGAAATGCTCGTCGAACATTGTGCGGTACCAGTAACTGTCAAAAGATTTAGTAAAATCCTACGTAAGACATAGAAGAAGGAAAACATACGCCTCCTTGGTATCGGGAATATCGTTGCCCCACTCAGGCTTGGGGTTCTTCATCATCTCATCAGTGACATGAAGTTCGGCGTTATCCTTTAGAGCATCGATCCAACCATAACCGACACCATCAGAGAATTGCTCCTTCTGTCTCCAAAGGATCTCGTCCGGTAAGTACGGCTCGGCGCTGGGGTCGTCAGAAGTATCGAACGCTTTTCGCAGAATCCATTTCTCGATTCGTTCCTTGGTAATCATCTTCTCCTGGGGGTCGATGTTCATGCAGGTTTCGAGGAACTATAAAGTACGTTAATAAAGGTGCAGACTAGAATGACAGGCGGATGGCCATAATAAACATACCTGCTTGTCAAGGAAGGGAACACGAGCCTCGAGACCCCAAGCCGAAGTAGACTTGTTGGCTCGTAGGCAATCCGCAAGATGGAGGTTCTTAACTCGGCGGACGGTCTCTTCGTGGAAAGCCTTCTTATCCGGCGCGGCATGGAAGTAGAGGTATCCTCCGAAAATCTCATCACTCCCTTCGCCACTAAGCACCATCTTAATTCCCATGGCCTTGATCTTTCGCGATAGCAGGTACATAGGTGTTGAGGCACGGATTGTGGTTACGTCATACGTCTCGAGATGGTAGATGACATCAGATAATGCGTTAAGACCATCCTCAATAGTGAAGGTCATGACGTGATGTTTTGTGCCGAGGAACTTGGCTACCTTGACGGCAGCCTCATTGTCGGGGGAGCCGGGTAAACCGATTGAGAAAGAGTTAAGCTGCGGGAGGTATGTTACAGTAGAGAGCTTGTTCTCATCGTCGATACCGACTAAGCCCTCACCCTTGTCAGGGTCCTCAGTCGGATCAGTAGTGGTACCATTGGCAGCGGCTAATGCGGCCTTCTTGAGCCTCAGGGTTTCTCTTTGAGCAATGGCTGCAACCAAACTCGAATCAAGACCACCGGACAACAGTACACCATAAGGAACTTCGGCCATGAGCCGTTTCCTCACAGATCGCTCTAGCGTTTCTCGAACGAGCTTCAGATCTAAGGGAGTATCCGGGATTTTCGATTCGTCCCACCAAGTCGGCTGGAAATATCGAGTGGTCTCGTTGGTTTTGGTATCATAGATGTGTCCCGGGGGAAAGGCGCGAATCTTATCGCAGACGGAGTGCAGACATTTCAGCTCCGAAGCGAAGTAGGTAGTGCCCGGCTCCGTGGAGGACCAACCTTGGTATAGCGTGGTGACACCGATGGGATCGCGGGCCGCAATAGTTCGATCGAGGTTCTTGTCGTATAGCACAAATGAGAACATACCATCTAAGTACTTGGGAGCGTCGAGTCCATGTTCCATATACTACGGACTCATTAGACAATGTGACATGGTAAAGACAAAATATTAAAGGTATCCTCACCAAGGGAATGATAACCTCGCAGTCAGAAGCAGTCTTGAAGTGATAAGGGGTCTTGAGACTTTTTCGAATTAACCGATGGTTGTAGATCTCGCCATTGACGGCAAGTATTATAGTCTCGTCCGCATTGGTTAGGGGTTGTGCGCCGGACTCTGCGGCCTTGTAAGTAAAGAGGTTTCGTTAAGTTGAAAATTTGATATTTGATAAGAGATACATACCGACGCCAACAATGCTCAACCTTTCGTGGCACAAGACTAGAAACGTGTTGGTTAGAGGTCACCCCAGTACTAATTTACTCTAATAGGTAAACCTTACTTGTGTTGTTGCAGATAACGCTTCCACCTACAACATAGGGAAGTGATCAGAATATATCGATAATATCACCAGGTTCTCTATGAGGCAACTCACTCCAGTCGGGGCCTCTGTGCCGAATTCTGCGTAGAACATGTCAATTGTAGTCATAGAGCTTAAGTATATATTATACGTACTGCTTTGCCAGTTTCAAGGCCGTTGGCTTGAATTTCTGGACGTCGGGGTGACTAGGCGCAAACGTCTTATTAATATATATGGCGCTCTTCCAATGGCATCACAAGTAAATCCAATCGATAATTATTTTTGGTGGGGTTTTGGCGATTGTCAATTGCCCCTCCATGACATTGATTGCTTAATCCATGTAGGGAAAAAGGTAAACTTACCAGTGGCACGCAAATATCCCACACATCTTATCAGTCTCAAAGTGTAATCAAAGTGTAGTTGGTAGAATGCAGAATATGATGGAAAGACTTTTGGAAGGAGTATAACTAAGGTAGAAGATGGTATTTTTGTCAGAATTGGAAAGAAAAAAAGATGGACCACGCGACTCAAACTTAAACTCAGAGAAACGTGGAGAGGTAAGAGCGACCCGGAGATTTTGAGTCACAAAATTTTATCTAGGAGGTAGCTATCAATATGTACTTTTGATGTACTTTTTATTATCATATCCGCCTTCTAATGCCAAATTTGACCCGTTATACTTAAAACCTACCTAAGGTAGGGGGGTTTATCTTAGCCTGACGACAATCTTTTTGCTAGTAGAACCGTCACGCCGGAAAAAAAAAGTGTCACGCCGAAAACAAAAGCCGACTTCGGACGGAGCTTTAAGAAACGACTAATAATACTATTACTGGCCAACCACGCGATGTCTATTGAGCCGTGATATTCACATTACCTATCGAGACATAAGACGGCAAATAAGATTGTAGATATTTATACTTCTATAAAAGGTATGGTTATATGTCCAAAATGTGGGAACTAGTTAATTATTATATACTACTTTGGTTAGACTTACTGCTCACCTTATGCCATCCATTTCCAATTCCCTACGAATCAGATGAACCGGAATTAATATAGTTCAAATATCGAAGCAAATAAACACGTGCGATCGGATGTCTTATCACTCTTCGTAACCCAGAAATCTGCAAGAGGATATCAAACTCTTTCCTAATAGGTTAGGTCGAACCATATTTCGTATTAGGCGGATAAGTTGGGGTCTGAACCAACCAGCCAGCCTATTCCATTCGGACAAGTAGCTGACCATGGAACCGCTTTACGGCTGATAGCCTCATGGAAGTAGAATACCAATATGAAGGCAATCGGCTATGAAACATTAGGTACCTACCTACCTAGGTACGGTAGGTAAGGCACAATAATAATCATTATAAAAATCATGGCTTGCATAGATCGTAAATCTATACTTAGGTACATACTTGGCTGCTTCGCATCCCACGTAGCACTATTCTTCGCGGCAAAGACTACATCATTACCCAGCTAAGAAAACCGGTTAACTGCCGTAGCCGCAACGCTAAATGCTGCTTAACATCTTCACATAGCCCTCCTGTGCCAACTCCGAAGGGCCCAAATGCAGAAAGCAGCCATCCGTATCTGGTATCCGTGACCCTGAACTCCGATGCCGAAAGTACACCAAGTATAGAATTTCCTCCCCAAGACACCCACCCCGCCAGCACCGGTTGAGCGCTCTAAGAGGCAGGGTTCTCCTTAACAGTTCGCCTCACACGTCGCTCGTATTCGGCCTTGTCTCGCTTAAAGAGGTTGTATGCTTCAGCTTGTGCGGGAGACTCCGGATTGGGATTGTCTAGGAGGTCTTGGATGCCGAGTGCGATCTGCTTGACAGTGATCGCCGGCTTCCAGCCTTCGTCCTCGTTTAGGATCGAAAGGCAGACGGTGCCCGATGGATAGACATTGGGGTGGAACAAAGGCGGCGTAAACTTGCCTATATGACAGTTAGTATTGGCTTCACGAGTTTGTAAATGGTCCAGATAATAAATTTACATTTCGGGGGCTTCGTAGGGTACTCTGAAACAGTATCGGTCAGCACAACTCGTTTTCTCGGTATTCCATACACCACTCAACACCTACCGTCAGGGAACGTCATCGTCAGTTTAAAGAGACCGCCTTCCCACATTGTCTTTTCCTTGCCGGGGATACCGCATTCCCAGATCTTTAGGTCAAGAACGCCTTGAGAATTCTTGACTGGTCGTGCCCAAAATCCGAAAGGATGGTCCTTCCTCCATTGCTTTCTACGACATTACAGACACGTTAGTAATGTGAGCGGCTAATCTTCTGGCACGCCGTGTAAGGGTCTTGCGACGTTAAAGCTTGACATACCTCTCCTCTCCAAGGCGCAATTGACATAGAGACATCTTTATAGAATAAATAGCCTAGTGATGATTGCGTAAGTCTTGTGGTTCTTATAGCAGTCAGACTTCTTGGTTCGTAAGTGGGCGATGGAGTTTGAGGGTGGAGTGGTAGATGTTCGTTTGTCTAAGGCTGCGGCAAAGTGCTAGAAAAAGAATGAAGTAGTTAAGAGTTCGGTTGTTGAATCGGCCGGAGGGTTGCGTAGGCTGAAGAAGGTAAAAAGGATGAAAAGAATGGCAAGTGCATTCGTTGTAAGACCCCAAGGGTAAAGAAGATGATGCGTGAACGTGAATAGATGTTAATCGAGCCTGCCTTCTTGCAGGGGTCCTTAGGTAGGGGCTAGCCTCCCACAGGTAGGTACCTCTACTACCTAAACTCCGAGGGAGGTAAGTTTTAGGTATTGTACCTTGTACCTAAGGTATGCCCTATCCGGCCTCTAGGTTAGCGGGGTTATGTGCGTCTTTATCTTATCAGACATCCCACCTGAAAGCCACCGAGAGAAACTAATAGTTCCAATTTGAAACGGATAAAGTAGGAGATGCCAAGCCATAAAGTATAATACGTTTTCGAAACTGACCTTCCGTCAAGCATCTTACAACTAAAAGGCCTCGGCATCTCGTGCATATTCGTTGATCCAAATCGCAAAGTGCATCGCCCAAACTATCGATCTTCTTTACTTGCGATTTTGCGCCTCTATCACTTAGCCTTGTTTCTTAAATTATATAGGTACACTTTCATCATTATTCTTGTCGGGGTCAATCATCCGTTACTATTATTGGCATTTCGCATCTTTGACCAAGGTACCTTTATTGTGTGACGGACTTGGGTATCCTACACGCCCATCTCTTTAGGCTCGTAACTATAAGAGTTAATTTCACACGACGTTTTGGTTTGTAATCTGCGAGACAAGCGCAGGATACGGCGGTATGGAGGCAGAAAAGGCGGCCGCGGGTACTAATCCAGATGGGCAAAATGCACCATCAAAGGTAGATCAACCCACTGCTTCAGTACCCGACCTGGAAGACGTCCCAGACCCCGATGAGGATGACCTAGATGACCTCGATGATATGCTGGAAGAGTTTTCCAGCGCAAAACCAGGCGCAAATCAAGCAATCCCAGGACCTAGTATCTCTGAGAAAGCTGCTGTGAAGACGTCGACGCCTGCCGGAGCAAGCGCATCATTAGACACAGAGAATCCACTAGATGGGCTTGATGATTTGTCTGAAGAGGAATTTCAGAAGCATCTACAGGCTGGGATGGCAGAACTAATGAGCGGATTGGACGATTCGGTTAGTCATCCTTCAACCAAGGGTAAGAGCATGTTTAGCCTAACATGACATAGCCAGACATGCAAGCCCAGTTTGAGAATATATTCAAGGGGCTCAGAGGAGATGGTGATGGCCCAGAAAGCTCAGGGGGCGGATCAGAATCGATTCCACAATCGTCCGATAAAGCAGCCTCGGACATAAGTCAGGATGCCTCATTCCAGGAGACGATCCGGCGGACGATGGCCAGGATGCAAGAGTCCGGCGACCAGGCAACAGCAGCAGCTACTGCTGAAGGCTCCGAGGATGATTTTATTGCTGAGATGATTAAGGCGATGAAAGATCTTCCTAGCGAGGGAGGTAACGAGGAGGACTTCTCCAAAGTGTTAATGGGGATGATGGAACAACTCACTAACAAGGAGATTCTATACGAGCCTATGAAGGAATTGAATGACAAATTCCCCGCATGGATGGAGAAGAACAAGGACACCTTACCAAAGGATGATTTAAAGCGCTTCCAGGAACAACAAACCCTGGTCGCAGAGATGGTAGCTAGATTCGAGCAACCCACATATGCTGATTCGAACGCGGCGGATCGAGAATACATCGTGGATAGGATGCAAAAGGTGAGTTACCTAATTGTGTCATTATGCTATTTACTAACTGGGGAGCAATAGATGCAAGCAGCAGGTTCTCCTCCTCATGATCTAGTTGGAGATATGCCATCAGCCAAGGAAGTGCTAGATGCGCCTGATGAGTCGTGCGCGCCTCAGTGATAATATACAAGGAATTTAGTTCCTCAACTGTTTATACATGACCTTCTCGGGGCCAGACCAAAATTGGCATGTACACAGACGATGTGATATCATACCCTACCATACCCTGTCATAAAGTCCCTAATCCTAATACGCCCCAACAATAAACCTATTCTTGCCGAAGAACTCCTGTCTGTGGACTGATGCAACCCATTCAACCTATCAAACCCAATAAAACTTCAAGACATATCCATTTGTCCTGAGGATATAAAGCCCTGACTATTCTGCTCTTGCTGCGATAAGAAATCCATGAAGAGGTGGTCATAGTCTTCATCATCGGAAATCGCCGGCGATGCCGCGCCTACGGGTGGCTGAGATGATTGGGTCTGGGCCTCGAACATGGACAACATTGCGTCCAGTTCCTCTTCCTCTTCCTGCGCTATGGCGTCGATCATCATGTCATCCGGGTTATCTATTGCTTCGTGTTGGAGTTGGGCAATATCTTCGATTTCATCTTCAAATACCATACCGTCAAGATCGGCGTTCTTTTGGTCTCGTCGCTGCCTATCTAACATGGACCACTCGAGCTTCAAGGCCTTCAAAGTCTGTTAGTATCGATAGCATTCCGTTTTAACTAGCCTAGCAGGGCCAATCATACCTCTTGGTCGCCTCCTCTTCTCTCCCACTTCTTGTCGTCCGCCCGCTTCCGTACATTTCGCAAAAATAAGTTCCGCCTACTCTCTTGCGCATTTTCTCGGTTCAGTTTTAACGGGTTTGGCTTTGCATTACGCGAAGCAAACTTGAATTTAGAAGGTGGTGCTTGTATAGGCGAAGACTGAGTATCGAGTCGACGAAGCGTGTTAGGATCCCGAGGACCTAATGGTGGAGAACTCGGTCTGATGGGAGAAGAGGAGAGCGGCGATGAACGTGTAGGCCGGTGTGGCGTTGAGAAGTCGATATTAAATATCGGCATTGTGGCTAACATTTCGTCTGTTATGATGTTATATGATGCTGGATTTGAGCAGGACGATGCGTAGATTAATTGTTTGTGTGGGACGATGTGGCTAAGGCAGAGTAAAGTGACTGCTTAGACTATTTCAATGCGAGCTTAACAAAGTGAAACGCGGGTAACGCGGGTTAGAAAGCAACGCGGTCCCTTCAATTGTACATAAGCGGGGCGTAACGCGTAAAGAGCATTGCGGGACAATGTAAATTGACGGATATTGGAATAGTTCGCGCTTCGGGGTCATTATTATGTAAGATATGCTAATTAACGGTATAAAACCCCCTTATTTTGTGCATATACTAGTAGGTACCTAGGTAGGTAACTTAAAAGAAGGTGTGTCAAGCCATAAAAACCCTAGAACCTTGCATGGCACGATCCAGATCGTCCAAATAGGAGAAAGAACATTCTTTTACCCCTGTCCCTATGACGCCGAGGTCTTCCACGAGCCGGGGATTGCATGTCCGACAGATGGAGCAAGAAAAAAAAAAAACGATAGTGAAATTTTATTAGTCGGCTATCCCAACATACCGACCACCTAATTGAAGGTTCAACAATTAATCGCGGGCGGTCAAGTTCTCCACCGATTGAGATTTAGAAGGACAACATGTCTTCATTGTCGTCTTATTCATAATATTAATTTGTTTAGGTACCTATGTTATTCTATTTACTTAAACAAACCCCCTTCAAATGACTAGAACCGCGCCACCATGAAATGCCCCTCGATCAATTTGCTCGGCCGCCTTGCCAGCAACAGGTCATGGACATGTTCGAATTGCCGCACCCAACTATTCGTAACCCACGTTAGGACAACGCAGCGTTCTATCACGAGACAATATACGACCGGCTCTTCTGGCTACTCGAGGAAAACCCATAAGCATCCCAAGACAAGAGTTACTGTGTTGACCGCTGCTACCACAGCCGCGGCCGGCGCAGGCGTCTTGGCGTTTACAGACGATATTAAAGCTGGATACGATGCTACAGAACGTTCGGGAAGAGTTGCTGCAACGCTGGCATTATGCATCAATGAGTATGTCCTGATTATAACTATACCCAAGAAGAGAAAAAAAGAAAAGGGGGTAAAAAACTAACTCATCTCAGTTACCGAACTTCCTTAAACCAACGTGACAATACAGAAGATTACGATGAAAAAGATCATATACTAAGAGCATGCCACAAGAGGTGTGCGGAGCGGACGCTCAAAGTGCTCGAAAAAAATGGAGGAATATTTATTAAATTGGGACAGCACCTGGTAATGCCTCATACATTATGACACGCTACATAAGAATGTTAGCTGACTTCCGAGATAGAGTGCCATGACTTACCTACTCCCCCGCGAATGGACCGATACCTTTATACCACTGCAAGACAAATGTCCAGTATCTTCGTTCCAATCGATCGAGGAAATGTTCCGCGCCGATACGGGTGAAGAGCTTAAAGACTATTTCTCTGAATTTTCAGAACAGCCAATAGGGGCTGCCTCTCTTGCTCAGGTTCATCTAGCGACGGTGAAAGAAAATGGTCAAAAAGTTGCCGTAAAAGTCCAACATCCAGGTTTAGCACAATGGGCACCTCTCGATCTTGCCTTAACCAAGTTTACTTTCTCAACCTTGAAGAAGTGGTTCCCCGAATACGATCTGGAGTGGTTAGCTTCCGAGATGGAGGTTTCCCTACCCCAGGAACTTGACTTTGAGCTCGAGGCTGCGAACGCGATTCGAACGCAAAAATACTTTGCGCAACATCCCGAACTACCACTCGTGATTCCCGATGTCCTTTGGGCGAAGAAGCGGATCTTGGTCATGGCGAACGAATCGGGCCATCGTCTTGACGACCTCGAATATTTAGACTCGAATCATATCGACCGCGACGAGGTCTCTGCCACGCTAGCCCACATCTTCAACGAAATGATATTCGGTAAGGGTGCGCCGCTACACTGCGACCCCCACGGTGGCAACCTCGCTATCCGGAAGGCGACTCCAAAGAGACGAGGAGGTGCCAACTTCGAAATTATTATATACGACCACGGACTGTATCGGGATATTCCCGAGAGCCTGCAACGATCTTATGCCAAGATGTGGCTAGCAGTTATCGATGGAGACATGTCTGCCATGAAGCGATACGCACACGAGGTAGCCGGGATCACGGATGAGCAGTTCCCTCTGTTTGCCAGCGCTATCACAGGCCGCGATTATACGGTGGTTAAGTCGTCCATCTTAAAATCGCGATCCGACGAAGAAAAGAAGACTATGGGCGACGCGCTGCAAGAAGGCCTATTATCAGATCTCGTGACTATGCTCGGACAAGTGCCCCGGATCATCCTCCTCATCCTAAAGACAAACGACCTAACGCGCAGCCTCGACGAGAACCTGCATACCCGCCAGGGCCCGATGCGGAGCTTTATGATCCTAGCCCGGTACTGCGCGCGCACGGTGTTCCGCGAGCAGGTCGAGGAAATCCGGGAGCGGCCCGGCACCCTGCTATGGCCGGGCAACGCGCTACGGTTCGTGGCCGCGTGGGTGGGGTACCTGCGTGTGGAGCTGAAGCTCGAGGCCTTCGAGCTGTGGCTCACGGTCAAGAGGATCGTGGGCATGAACACGGTTCATTACGGGAGCGCTGTATCACTATAAATAATATTCACCCCCTATTACATCATAATACCTGTATTGCGCGGGCGGCAGCATGTCTACCTACCTAGGTTAGTCTACTTTAGAAGCGAGACTTTTTTTTTGTTTCCTCGTGACGAGGCGAGTCGCGGGTGGCTGGATACCTTGATAGATCGATAGATAAACATAGGGGGAGAGAGGGACGGAGGGACGGAGGGACGGGGGGGGCATGAGCATTAAGCGGCGTCGAGGGGTAGGTGGATGAATACGAATTTAATGAGATGCATGTGAGTAATGTTATATATATGCTACTAGACAAGACTTTTGGCTTTTTCGATAACTAGCAGTATTTATGATCGTGTGTTATTTACCCCTAATATCATATACCGCCCGTTCCCTCTAATCAGTGTACCGTGTACTCGTATCTTTGCGTGTGCAATAAGACTTTGCCATGCTTGATCTTATAAGACGTATTTATTACCACCAAGCTACATAACGCACGTTCCAAAAGTAGCCGCATCCTCATCATGCACCCTCTCATTGGGCCAACGTGGCCGGTATCATGGACATCCAGGTAACGCTGGGGCACGATGTGATTCGTTGAATTCCGCGTTTATAAGCAAGCAAGAACCCGTGCGGATGCGTCACGCCTGGGTACAGCGTAGCTAGCTGGCACCGTCGTGGCATACATATGCTTCTCCCATGTCTTTTCCATGTGAATCCCCATGTTGAAAACCAGGTGTCTTATTTGCGAGAGTTTAGGATTGAATATGATGACTACCTACCTAAGGTATTAATACGCTTCAAATAGTAAACTTGTCTCGAGACGTAACGTTTAAAATATGACGACGGGACTAATATTTAGAAATCATCATAAAATCGGTAGATAGTCATTTATTAGGCGATAGTCACTTATAAGGCAAACGCAACGATGGGAACAATAATTACGTATTCATATGAATGATGGGAAGAGCTCATTTATACACTTCCTAACCTAATAACCCCAACCTAATACCTGGTCTGCGGCAAGACTCGCTTATAATGCAGACTTCACATCACTTTGGATGTAATTTCATTCTCGTAATGCATCACGGTATCTTCCTCTCCTAAAGAAATATCCATAACCTCCAAATCCAATGCGGGTAGTTCCCAAGGCTAGGCGATAGCAAAACTGCATCCTCCATAACATAGTAGCCAAGCAATGGGCTGCTTTGCGCGACCAATGCATTGTACACAGCATCACGCTGGCTTTCCGTGCTATAGTCCCGTATCGTCTCGTCCGTGACTTAGGTACCTAACATGCTGTGTGTTGCGTAATGGGGAGAATAGATGGCGCCATTTATTCGTCCGTCGTACGTTAGGTGGTCTGCTAATTGCAGTTGCTAGTAGAAAGAAAGTTCGCCAAATCTCGGTTTAATAAAGGGGTATCAATTCCATTCGACGCTCCAATCGCCGGTACGTCATCGCCAATTATCTCCACTCCTCTCCTCGAATGTTTCTCGCTACTGCTTCGTAATCATAGGCCAATTCGGCACTTGGCACTTGGCACTTAGTACTTAGCGACCACCCCACCTCCAGCTGGAACTTGAACTTGAACTTGAATTTGAACTTGAACCTGTCGAAACGGTGTGAGTGCTGGTGTCGCTGCGATCACTATCTACGCTGGTGCGCTTCTCAGGCTGAGGCGAAGGTGACCGGCGCAAGTATGCCGGTAGGTACGTAGCGGTTGGGCTTAGCGGCTCGGGTGAAGTCTGGCGCGTCTGGAACGATTTCTGAATTTGTTTGCACAGGTGTGCAGACATGGTATAGGTAGGCGACATGGTGGGATGGGTGGTAATAGAGGGGCTCGTGACCTCGATCTGAAGTAGAGATAATATCGATGGGTCGGATGCAAGAAAAGAATCTCGCAAGACGTCGTGAAGTAGGGCGACTAGATAGAATAGGATACTGAATACGCTTGTATGGAGGGTAGGTATAGCTTGAGGAGGAAGAGAGAAGAGTATCAAAAGCTGCTGGCTTCCAGCTTAAGTACGAAAGGTATCGTTCGATAATAGCTTGGCGGTATGGGTGATAAGCTCGAGAAAGGGAAGCCGGTAGACAGACGAGATGGACGAGATGTTATCGATGGGGAGATACTAGAAAGGAAAGAGGAAAATGGAATAGGTATGGGGGGAGGTAGGGGAGTTTTATTTATTTATTTATTTGCCTGTAGGTTGGATATTAAATCCTACCTAACTGAACATTCCCAAAATAGAAATAGAAACACTTGTGACTTGTGATCTACAAGTATCGTGGAGCGTAGAACGTATGTAGAACGTGGGAGTCAGAAGGGTGAATACCTGAATAAGGTACGTGAGTAATGTTCAGCTGGCTACTAACCTATATTTTGACTGACGCATCTTATTAACTGGCCAGTTTGCATGTACATACACTAAGGAAGCACTGCAGGGTAGAGGATGGTGGATTTACATACATGGGGAACAGGTGAGTTGGTGGAATAAAAAAATAAATCCCCTGAGAAAAGGGATAAAGGCAGCCAATTGCTAGCTACAGCTGGGTTCGGTACCTACACTAGGTAGGTACCTAGTGATCCAGCGGGCAACCCCAGTGGTGTTAGTCGGCTGTCGTAACTACCGGGTGTCCCCGCTATATCAGGTCACTACATCCCTAAAATGGCTACTGTAAGACCTTCCGACGAATCAAGAACTGCCTAATTCGCATTACACAGCAGCTTAACGAACCTTTCGTGACTTTGTACAACTCTGTGTGAGCTGATCCGATCGTACGACCACACCACCTGGAAGTTCCCTTTCCGGTGATTCGTATTCCACTACGTACTGTACATAGCCCGTCCATACAACCTTATTAATCACTAACACGCAAACACCTGGATTATAGAAGCAGGTACCTAACCTTATACATAGGAATACAGGATTAAAGGAACTCGGATTGGCTGATGCTTTTACACACTGCACGCGACCACACGATACTACTGTCTAGCGTTTGCAAGTTGGAATGAATTGCCTTGTTTGTATATTCATTATCTCACCTTCCGATTCAGCCCCGCAGGTATAATGATAAGCCGCCGGCTTGGGGCTCGGTTGTCGGGGTACGTCATCCCGTACTAAATTGAAGCCATCACCATTTCTATGTAAATAAAGCTGTCTGACAACTCAACTTCCATGGTTTACAAATCAATCATCTATAATCCATATGCATGCAGTGTCATATGAGCCGCATCTTGCGGATACAGAATATCCAACGCGCATTCTCTCGTAAAAAGAGCACAGCGTTACTCACTACTATCTCCGTCGTTGTGTTCTTACCTCCGTCAGCCCTACCTATGTAATAGATCATCGAATGGCATAATTAATAAAAATAGAACACACACGCAACGTTTTCTGCTAGTTTGTTTCAAAGATAATATGAAACTAAGTCCTCGAGAACGAGTTCCAACCACGTGTAACTGACTTAGGTTAGTTACATAATGTAAGTTAAACTTGATATTACAGAGAGAAAACGATAAAGTAGGCGCAGAATATTCATTTTTTTATCTTCTCTATCCTATGCAGAAACGCAACTACTAAACCCATCTCGCATGCTCTTTTAAATCATACGACCGCCATCATTTAATACTAATTAGCTTTCAGCACACAGCCGTACGGGCTGGGACGGCATGCAGATACCCCTTTTATCACGGTAATCTTCCGGAAGACTATTCTGATATTTTTTCAAACTAAAAGTCAATAGCCGAGGAAACCTCTAAGATATATATACATATTGCTATGTAGGTCAGTATGTACATACAATTCACCTTTCGACATAGTGTGACTATCGGTTGTCGGTGGCGACAGGAGTACTAAGATTGCACTATTGGTCCTTGCAGAGATCTACCACGTTTTTATCTCAAATAAATATTAAAACCACGCGCTGTCGAACGAACATAATACGATATTCATCCCCATATATACGTACATAGGTATAGATAAACACAGCTACTATCCTGAGCTACTATGTATGTAGACACATAGACTATATAGATCAAACCCTACCGCCCCGTCCGTTGCGTGTACGGAAACGGCTTCCACAGCGCTTTGACCCCGAACCACCACAGCTCGTCCTGCCACGTATTCCAGTAGTGCCCGCCGAACGGCGTGATCCGCGACAGGAACCTGATATCCAGCGCGTCGAGCGCGGCCTGCACGTCCCGCCCCGCGTCGAACACCGAGTCGTACAGCCCGTACGCCACGAACAGCCCCTTTCTAGCCAGCGCCGGATTCGCCGCTAGACCCTCCGCGTCGACGTACGGCCCCGACGTCGCCGGCGAGAACATCCCGAACCAGTCGAAGTAGTCCGTCGCGTTGACGTACATCTCGTACGTCAGACGGCCGCCCCACGACAGGCCCGCGAAGGCCCGGCACGACGGCGCGGAGCATACGTCGAGGTGCTGTTCTACCCACGGGAATAGGTATCTCTGGTAGTTCTCGCGGATATGCTGCGACGTCGGTAACTCCCACGTGGTCGACGCGTTCCCCATGATGAAGCGCGGTAAGCTGTCGTCTAGATTGTAAAATGACGGCATAACTACGACCGTAGGCTCGATGTGGCCTTCGGCGATTAAATTGTCTATGATACTCGACATCCGACCGAGGTTTTCCCAGTCGTTCCCGTTGCCGCCGGCGCCGTGCGATAGGTAAAGAAGCGGGTACTTCTTCCCTTGTACCCTGCCGTACTCTGCCGGGAGGTAAAGACCGAAGTGGTGCACGTCGGGCTCCGGATGGATAGACCCAGGCGATGAATAGTTGACGGATTTGACGGTACCCCGGAACTCGGCGGGGGCAGGTAGTGCGTAGTCGAAGTTGGCGCTTATATCGTCGGTGCCTTGAAACCGCGCGTCGAATGGTACCTGGAAGCTAGATGCTACTTGATCTCCTTGGACGTTTTGGAACGGGGGCAGGTCTGGATCGGTGACGAGTTGGCCGGTGACGATGCTGCAGTTTGGTGCGTAGTTGCAGTCTATCAGGTACGCATAACTATATATTCCCGATGGGAGAGGCGTCGTATAGGTCCACACACCATCACCTTCGTTCGCCATCTCATACGGCCACTGGTAGTCGTCGGGCGTCTCTCCGAATGATACGTAGAAGTCCCCGGGTTTATAATCATGGGGATCATACCATGCGCGGGTGTTTAATGTCGTGTGAAAGTGATCTGAAAACGGCTGCAATCCTCCGCCGATGAGCACACGGCTGGCTGTAGTGTTGACGTATTTGAAGTCAACCTCGTAGCCAGTTGTGCCCCTATCCGTCTTCCGCACGGTCACTGAAGCAGTTGCTCTCGCCGAGCATAGCGCCAGCAAGCTAAGAAGCCCTTGCTTGATCATCTTGGCTTATCTCGCATCAGGAAAAGGTAATATCTATCTAGATAGCATGGTAAAGCATCGCTACTATTCTAGCCACTTCGTGACCTTTTATAAAGTCGAGGACATCGATGTTTACTTGGCAAAGACGAAGAAGATCACCCGAAAGAAACCCGGTTCCCGTAATCCAGAGCCGTCCTCTAAGGTCCCGTACTATGCATCGTGACGATCAGCAGTCCCGACTCGCTCGCGGTGCTAACCTAATCCTTGCCATCATCTCGGCTGAATGCTCTTTAAGGTATGGACCTTGAGTGGGATCCCCATGGTTATCCCTCCGCAATGTCACCTTGCCTGCCGGGGATACTCCTCTCCTTGATTTCCCCGCATTCTGTCTCCAAACCAAACCTATGACGCTCTTAAGAATGTTTATACTTCTAGGCTCGGTATATAAGGGTATGATATAGTAATACGAGAATAGAAGATCATATGGTACCTTGTTCTAACTTGGAATCGGTCCTATTGTGAGGTAACTAATGCCGGCAATTGATGAGAAGAATCTGAAGGGCAAGTTCATAGTTATATGCATAGGGCTTGCTTTAGTAATTGAAAACTTGATCTTCTCGGTTCCTACAACTATTATAATGTCTTTTAACAGCTTAAGAATTTAATATAATACCTAGCATATACTAGCCGTACAATATATGACTCTATGAATAAGACACAAGGCATAAGGGTGTCCAATACTTGAACATATTCGGGAATAAAAGCATTCATAAATTATAGCGAGAAACATAATGATAATCATTAATCGTTGACGAAATCATAACGCGCTCATCTCATCTCTTAAGGGTACCATCGATTAACCCAAATCCAAATCCAAAGTCAACAACATAAACTCTAGGTAATATCCAGAAAGCCAAAATAAAACAAAAGAATCTGCCATAAAAATAAAACCGGCTCATAAATCGTAACTTTAGCCACGTATCTCATTATGCTTTCGCTAAGAAAGTTGTCAAGCCAAATGAAAAAAAAACATCGCCGATCCTCGCTTTCTATCCAACTCACCGCCGTCTAAAATCATATATCTCTTAGCGCATTTCCGAACATATTCATTAAGCTACCCCCGGGTCGTAGTAATCCTCCAAGAGTTTGTGCGATGTCGCTGACCAAAGCGGGATCCGGATCACCGAGCGATCTCCATGCCCCGCGGATGTGCCAGTCATCGTCGTTGCGTGGGAGATATTCAAAACTGCCTTGTCTTGGAAACCTGTCAACGGCAGTATTGGTAGTTTCAAGTGGCTGTCCAGAAGGGTCAAAACGATCAGGTAGGTACTCGATTTCGCTATCGTCAGAAACCGGTGATTCGTCACCGCGCACCCTACGTCGCTGGACACGCGGCCGGTTAGATGACACGTCTGAGCCTGAGCGCCTCCGTAGATTTCGAGGCCGTTGAAGAAGGGCTAGTTCCTCCTCAATTTCCTCCTCCGATCGTTCCCCCATCCGTCGGCGATGTCTTCGGAGAGTTCGAGAAGACTTCGGTGAGAGAGGCACGAATTTGACTTTAGCAGCAGGAGGTTCTGCATCAACACTTCTCGACCGAAGGCTGGAAGAAGATCGCTGACGATGTTTTAAACCATCTGCGAATCGAGTTAGAAATTATGGGGATTTGGATTATGTCGCAGACACTTGATAGGTAATACGAAAAGGAATAAACTCAAGGAGACGCACCCTGCTCAGTAGCCGTGCTCCGAGAGGCATCAGGATGGGATTGTATGTCACCGGAGCGTGGATGACTCACATTTTCTGGTCCGGTTCGGCTATCCATACCACGTGGTGGCCCGGATAGTGGAGGTCCGGGAGGAGGAGGTAGATTCATCGAAGGTACTCCCGCATAGTCTTGAGGATTATAGGGAGGGTAGGGGCTATAAGCATTCACGTTAGGGGTAGATGGATTTGGATGCTGTGTAAAGCCAGCCGGGCCGGCAGGGGGTGGACCCGTAGGTTCCGAGGCGGGAGGAGGTGGATAGTATGCCCCACCGGAAGCATGGAGTGGTGATGGGGGCATCGCCGTGTGATAATCATAGTATGGATCGTCTGGTGCTTCCTCTTCGTAGCCTATTTCATATTTTTAGCTAGGTGCTTTCATTCTAGTTTTCTTCTTCTTGATACGTACGCCTTCGCTCACGATCACGGGATCGCCTGGCTTTACGTTTTTCTTTGTCTCGATCTTCCCTGTCTAGCGACCTGTCTCGGCTTGCCTCCCTAGATTTACCTTCTCGTTCCTTACTCTTCTGGCGGTCTTGATACTTTTTGATACCCATTGCCGCCGCTGCGGTACCGATTCCGGCGGCCGTGACGCCGCGCAGCCTGCTACGACTCCTTTTCTTGCGAGCCTCTCGATCGGACGTGGAAGGTGAGCGATGATCGTGTTTACGGCGGCGTCGCGGCTCCTCGGTAGCAGACTCGTAGCCCTCGATGGGCTTACTCCCGTACTCTACTCCGGGAACTACGGGAACCAGGCCTAATTCTCTATCAGCCGTAGAGTCTCGTGAATGCGAATGGCGACTAAGTGACCTGGAGCGGGATCGGCTTCTTGAGTAGCCTCGATCTCTATCGTAGTACTCGTCATCTGAATCTCTATGATGTTCGCGTTCCTTCGACTCTTTCTTTTCCTTGTGACGCTCCCAGAGCTTTTCTGCCGCAGCGCCAGTCAAGCCAGCAGCCGCAATTTCGGCACCTAGCGAATTAGAGATACTGCCTCGCCTAGGTAATGGACTTTTTTACTTACCAGTCCTTAGGCGAGATTTGGATCGAGATTTCCCTCGAGACTTAGACCTATAATGCTTCACTATACCAGCAACAGCACTAATGCATTCCATAATCAGTAATTTGGCACTCGATTGTAATTGCCGAAGGGGGAGGTAAATGATAGAGTTGAGAAGACGTAAGAAAATGGAGCTCGGAAATCCTTAACTTACCCGGTTGCTAAAGCTGCCTTGGCCGCTTTGGACTTGGATTTGCTTCGGCTTCGGCCACGGCCTGACCGACTTCGAGAAGTCGAATACCCGTCAGTAGAATAACGGCGCCGTGCACGTCCACGATTGGCCTCTTCTTTCTCGACCTTGTTATTCTGCATATATTTGAGTCCGCCAGCAACAGCTAGAGCGGCAGCACCCTTTATATTGTTAGCATTGATTGGCTCACTGCTCGCTTGGATGTTTGTGATACTTACGATAGCCAATCCGGTTGTTAGTCTACTCCGTGACTTGCTTCGGTGTTGATGTCGATAACTGTCGTCGTAGTGATCTTCATACCTGTCCTCGTGCCTATCCTCGTATGCGCTCTTTGCACGACGTACGGCCTCGGAACCTATGGCGCCTAAAGCAGCACCAGCGAGAACCTTGCGCCCTCTATGCTCGGGGTACTCGCTATTTTTACCACCATGACCGGATAGTAGGGCGGTGAGGCCGGCACCGGCAAGGGCACCTTCAGCTAGATGTCGCTTCTTGTGACGGTCAGAGCTAGAGCTACGTTCTCGTGTTATGATTGTCCTCTTAATATAATAGTCTTCATCATAGCCGTCGCTTTCGTACTGTCGCTCGTCACGACGCCGTCGGTCTTCCCGACGATAATGATAGTCTTCCTCCTCTCGAGGTTCTGGGCGGGGCGCTACTTGTCGACGCTCGTCCCTTAAGACGATATACGTCGGTTCCTGCCGCGGAAGTATGACGGGGGCAGGCGCGGGAGCTTCGTGAATAACAACCTTTTGTTCGGGAAACTTCTGGCGAATAACGACAGGCGCCTGTGGAGGAGTTGGTGCCGCGTAATACTCGACCTCTTTTCGATACCGCTCAATATCGACGTCATGAGGTTCTCTGTCTACTTCAACGCGACGCTCAATCATGAGATCCCGCTCCTTATAGTCGCGAGGCTCCTCTCTATACTCCTCGGTTTTCTCTTTAAGCTGTAACTCTCCGTTTGCATCTTCGCGCACGATCCGCTTCTCAGTGCGAACATCTTCCCGGACGTCATCCCAAGGATAAGCCGACCGACGGTCCCAATAATGGTCGCGAGGTGATGGCGAGGATGTCTTAATCTCTTCAACAACTTTGGTGCGAGAGTGTCTCTCGGGGTAATGATCCCGATCGACGTCGCGTTCTCGCTCATACTCGACAGTCCTATACCGGTCGTGATCGTGCGAATCGAAAGCCGATCTAGGTCGCTCAGGATAAGAGGTTCTCTCAACACGGCGATCTACTTCCAGCGTCTCGCCAGAGGAACGGCCGACATTGGAATGTGAGTGCGAGTGTGAGTGTCTTGACCTTCGGTCGTCATCCTCTTCATAGCGCTCGATGCGATCCCGCTCAACAACTCGACCTCCACCTCCTACTTTATACCGCCTCACGGTTGTAGATGTATATCTATCGTCATCAGACGAAGGATCATCCTCCCTTGTGTAGCGCACATCGCGCTCACGATAAACTTGAGACATATCGTTGTAAATCCCAATAGCTGGGAGATAGTGACGTCACTGAAGCGTAGATGATTGATTTTAATAAGTATGAAGATGAAAATAAAGGCGAATTATGAGGATAAAAGGTATCTACCTAACTAGACAACACTAATACCGGGAACTATATATATCGCGGCAAAAAAGGAAGGCTGGTGATGATGATGTGGGATGATGGAGAGTGTCACGCAGGACTTCTACCCATTAAGTTGGGCTCGAGAATGATCGGGAAGAGCGACAGATGCTGACTGATGGGCAAACCAGGCAAATGGATGATGGGGTTTCCGAGGGGCGCCGACTGTGACTCTAAACCAGCCCAGCCCAGTTGATTACTTGGCGTTCGGGGCTTTTGTGGAGGGGGCAAAGAGGATGAGTGACGCTGTTAGTCTCTTGTCAACTGTCAACCCTGGCCAGATTTGACTTGCTTGCCCTGCCTCGTGGCTATTTAGTCTCTAGGCTTGCCGGTTCTCCAGGTCTCTTGGATTTCCTGGTAAAGCTTGGAAGCACGTATGCAGTTCGTTTATGCTGCGCCTTGGTATCGTATACGTATGTGTCAGTGTGTATCTTGGTAGGGTTTTATTTGCGCCAACCCGCATGGGAGAAGACGAGACCCCTCAGCTCTAATGTATTGATGCGGGGTTCTCGACCTAATCAATATTCTTGATACGTCTTAGGTATGTCGCTCAGTCGAATACATATCGAACACCTCAAAAACATAGCCGCGAATATTGTAGGACTTTCTTTCGCTATTACGGACCAAGCAGACCAAGCAGACAGATGATTGCGGCTACTTGCTGATGATGATAACATGTAGATGAGACTTTTTCATCACCTTGTGATCATTGTCTGATTGTCTGAGCTGGGGGCTGTGATGACTTCTAGTTTCGTTTGCTGTGGTTTAATTGGTGAAGAGGTTGAATTATGTGCATATGCAGCTTTTACCCATGCAAACTGGCTGCCAACTGGGTCCCGTGGCCTATCAGCCTATAATGTGCACTTTCCTCTAGCCGCTTCTCAAATATTCTTTACGTTTTCCGCGCCTTCCCAGCTTCCATAATATTCTCGTGTTCTGTACGAGGTACTTTGAAAATTAAGTCGGAATAATGTCGTCATATTTCCTGTACGAAGAAGCAGAGAAGCATTGATGGCCCCCTCAAAATCGGGACTCGGCGAATTGAGACGGTTAGTTATAGTGGATCCTGCCAACTTTTACGGATTACCATAGTTAGTGGCCTTTTCCACCAACAATAGTAACAGCCTACATCATCCTTCAAAATGTATCCATTCCCACTTTGCATTTCTTAGTTTTCGCAGTATTCATACGTATTTGGTCAAATGCGGCGTCTACATACTAGTGTACGTTCGAAGGATAAAGCACGAATAGGAAGTGATTACCTTATACCACACGTCGAAAATATATTTCGATGAGAAAACGACTATATTATTATTCGCAATCTTATGAAATTCGATAAAATCTTACGAAGAGACGCTGAGGCCTCATATCGAGTAAGCTTACTCAGTACAGCATCCAGCCCACCTGCAAGGCCTATCAGGTCAATATGTATACGCGCTTGAGTATTCAACGAATTTATCATGTACATATGCTGCCTTTGACCCACAAGAATTGAGCCCCATCGTTGAGGTCCAGAAGTTCGACATCTCTATTGATTAATTTCTATACCGACTTGCTGGAAAAGGATGGATACCTACCTACCTACCTTATACATAATATCTTCTCAAATCGCGGGGATATATGATTTATCTAACCAAGTACTTCTAGCTACCCTATAGATGACTCGATGGGCTCACATAGAAGAGTCATATCTCAACAAGTGCTGCCAGATCCTAAACCTCTTACCGAATTGAGGTATCGCGTATGCTAGGACTGGAGGGCACCCCTTCGGGATGCCACAATAGCCCGAATTTATACTACTATTACACGGCTAAACACTTCTAGATATTACACCCTGTATTAGCATTTTCGAGACCCTAAAAAACGGCATCTTTAATACCCTTAATAAAAAGCGTTTAGGGACTAGTTATGCACAAACGAACTTCCTCTTTTGAAAAACGTCGCCCAAGACAATAAAATAACCCTCATAAATTCGGGCAATATGTTTAGATTATGTAACCTAGGTAAGTATACGATAGGCGTCTAAGGTTGTTTTTGGTCGATTGATCGTGGTTTATCCGGCCCTAACATATTAAACACTGCATCTACTCGGCCGATGTATACCATGTTTTAATTGACAAGCTCCCTCATCTCCATCTACTCCTATTCTATGGCTCCACTCCGCATTCCCCAAGCCTACACGGAGCACACACTTTTGAAGGAACACCTGTTTAGTCCAACTATGTATCAACAACGTCCTGAAAACAGGGTAAATGGGTAAAATAATGATACCTACCTACCTTACCTACCTAGGTAGGTAGGTAGGTACTCTACCTAAAACTTCACGCCAACGACGGATGCTTCACCAAAATATATATCATAGACATGGCACACGATCCGAGAGGTTATGCTTACGTCAAAGATATAATATATTGCAAATAAGACAAGGATAGCATCCTAATCATTTATAGCCCTCCCCTTAATATTCTAAGTGACGCGTCAAATGGAGTATCAAGTACAGAACGGAATTCGGTTAATTGAGAAAGTAAATTAAAAATGTCGATCTGAATCGCTTCAAGCTATGGGTAGCGTACGCGTCGGAACCGGCAGGCTGAAGACCAAAGCACATCTCTCCTATCAATTGACCAACCAGCGGTCTGGGCCTCTTGCAATACCATGTAGCCTTTCTATTTTGAGCCTTGGCAAAGCTTATTCCGATGTTCCTGCATTGCTTAACCGGTCTTGACCGGTCTTGCACCATGCTAGCTTATGGCTTCAAGTAGGCATATCGGTAGAAGATCTACAGTTGTGTTGTCGTGAGGAGCATGCATTGCGGACTTCATCTGTAGCTCTTTGACAATTTGCCGAAAAGCTTCATCCCCTGAGGGTAATCATGGGTATGGGTTGGAGAGGTGTGATTTTGAAAAGGATAAATCTCTTCGTAGAGTCAAAAACATGTATATATAGCCCTATGATCATCTCTCAAAACTGAAAATAAAGTCAAATCACTACCAAGTTCTATTCAATCGTCTATTCAATCGTCTTAAGATAATCATCATGAAGGGAATCATCGCTCTCCTACTTCTCGGCCTCGCTGTCGCAGCACCTGTCAACCAGGAGCTTCCTAACTCATGTAAGTTAGGCTGTATTCGCGTCTTGACGACACAAAGCTAACATATACGACAGTCCCTGGTGAAGACGTAAAGAGTAAACACTATCAGCCCTATAGAGTTTACTAGGCAAGCAGGCTAACGTGTATCATATAGCTCTCCCTCATCCCAGCGGTCTTCCCACTGTTAGCTTCTCGCATCCACCGCGCCCAACTGGTTCTGGCTGTAAGTAGTTGTTGTATTTTAACTCTATAAATAGAAGCTAATATAATCTATAGTCCCCGGGTGTGAGTTAACGACTTATGAAATTGCAACTGGCAACAAGCTAATATAGTCCAAACAGTCCCTCGCCCAAGTGGTGAACCAAGTGGCCCAGGTGGTATGTTCTAATTCCTTATTACTATCATGATTTGACCTAACAGAGATCAGGTTTCCCGCACCCTACAGGTGGCCCTCGTCCTACAGGTGGCCCTCGTCCCACAGGCCGCCCTCATCCGGGTCGACCCCACCCTACTGGCCGTCCTGGCCGTCCTACTTCTGAATGTTAGTTTCACTCCACGGTTCTCATCCAATCTATACCTAGAGCTAGTTTCTAACTTATGAATAGCGCCGCTGCCCACTCCTACCCCGACGCCATGAAATAGTGCAGCGTGATGGGCTATCAAGGTGTAATTGAGGAGACCTTGCTTTAGGCTGCGATACTTAAAGGTCCATTCATCATTTGCTTAGTTGTTGAACAAGAGGGTAGTGTGGTTAGGAGGGATATGACGGGTTATCATTCTAAGTAGACAAGAACGACAAGTAATCAGGGGCTTACCGGACCTGACAACATTCTTGTATTTTTAATTTACAATTTGCAACTTTTTTTCACTAGTTTTGTACTTACGTGCAGAGGAGTACATTACCGTTTATTTATCAGCAATATATCAAGTGACATGTAGTTTTATATATCATATATAAGCGTATTTTTGCCTCAATATCTTGGTATTCTTTGGATACGTGTATATGACGATAATGCCGGTATCTAAACTTACCTATCTTAAGGAACTTAGATTGTACCTTCTACCACTTGAGCAAGCCCTTCCTATAACTTGTAGCTACCCTGTCACATTAGACGAAAGTAATGGTAAGAACTATGCATTATTAGCTGATGTAAAGATGGAAAGCGTACTTATGACAACATCATTGGGAAACAGGTAGGAATTCCGCGTATACCTAACCCAGCATACATCCAAATATCGTCAGTTGAACTCATCATCCTTCGTCAAACTCCTCACTAGGAAGCATCAATCTCTTCGCGTCGCCCCTTTTCACCCCTATGTATATTATTATTAGTACACAAACAGCCCTATTTATCAGCAACTAGCGGTCGTACTTCTCCTTTGGAAGCTTACCCGAGTTTCTATGGTCTCAAGACTAACTTCCCATAACCCCTGCTTCGGTGTTTACGAGACCTGTCTTTTATGTTGGCTTCTCTATCACCACCAGTCAATACCGTGGCAGTCTATCGATAATCTCTGCGGGTAGCTCTATATGGTAGCTCGTCGAAAACCTATACTCACCAATCATAGGGCATGGCTACCTTCAACACTATCTTCCAAGATACTCCCATGGAGCCCAAATTCAATACGAGCTTGCGTCCTAGCAATTCAACCCCCTCGTTGAAAGCTGCGAGAACCCGCCCAATATCTGTTCGTTCTACAGGGTCTAGATCATACCGTCATACATTGTTGAAATCGGAGGATTCAACAGACCAATTGATCAGGGACTTGCCGATACCTCCAGTCTTAACACAGGGACCGCCAGAGCTTACAGAGAGAGATGCAGTCGTGACGCATAGGCTCTCTCGTGTATCCATACCTATACCTATAAGAAAGTCTTCCAAGGCTGACCTTGAAAGCCAAATACCGGGAACCCCTGTTCCCGACGAAACAAGACGACCAGGAATAGTGTGCATTGATCCTACAATACACCCTCCAGACAAGCACGCAGAAATCCACCACCCTGGTTTAATTATAGGTGCTGACTTCTGCGATGCTGGGCTTGCTGTTGAGCGCGATTCTCCCATCAGGACCCCACCAAGCAAGCCTGCTTCTGTGCGTTCTGCTCCTGTATTAACTGGTCGGGTCCGCCGCGTTCTTTCAGGGGGTGACATATGCGAAGATATAGTTGATGTTTCCGAGCATATCCACAAGAACCACAGCTCAGCTACCAAGGTTCGCCCGGCTATTGGGTTAATTCACCATAACGAAAAGCACGGCGGCCACTTTCGTATTTCGAAGGTCCAACCTGCTCGTGAAAAAGTCGAGCAAAAGAAGATAATCCATCAAAGCAGGGCACACGCCCGAGCAGATGTCACGCCAGAAGAACCGTACGTTGAGAATATCCACCATGGCCATAGTCTCGCGCCAAAAGTCCATCTATCCCCAGATAATTCTAGAGACAGTACACATCACAGCGACCCCCACGACGGCCATATTTGGGTCCAGAAGGTACAGCCTTATCATGAATCGGCATCTACCGCTTTTATAACAGAGGAAAACTCGATTCCAAGGTTATCCGTCAAGAAGCACGTCCAACAGGGTGATGATTCAGCAAAATCTACTTCGTACTGGGGATTCTTACCAGGATTCAGGAATCAAGAGGGTGAGAAGGCCGGGGTGACTGGTGAACCTGTGGATGACTCGATCCCTCATGTTAGCAATGAAAATCATCCTTCATTGAGCGCTAGTCAGTACTCAGCTTCTCAAAAAAGCCTCGACACTGCCTCCAAAACCGTTGCAAGACTCACGGAATTCATTGGCAATCAAGAGATTATCCGCCATGCCAATGCGAACTTGTCATCACTTGGAAAATTGTTTAGCCATTCAGAGGACAGAGTTCCTCTTCGGGACAATGGACAAGAAACGGAAATTCATACAGCTTCTGTTTCTCCAACTTCATATGCGCGTCGTCCAGGGGGTGATGAAAATGCTGCGGAACAAAGTATATTACCTGAAGGGATTGACCCAGCGCATGCCGCAACATGGCTTCGTCAGTTTTTCGGACATCCAGAGCCAAACCCTCCGAGTCTTACCCAACTACCGGAGAAATCCCACCCTCGCCACGAGGATCATGACGACTATCCCAACAACGACGACGAGGCGTTGGCTTCTAGAGCGACGAGTTTCTCAGGGAAAACTTCGAAGGAGGCTGGAATAATGGACACAGCTATGCACAACCTTGAGCAACTACTTGACGAGGCACTTTTTCTCGCCAACGAAGCTACCGAAAACGACCATTGCGGGCATGGTGATGACAAGGACCTCATTTCCCGCCTACAGAATGCAACTGAACCATTTAACATCCCCCACATCTTATCTGATGCCAAGGTAAACAATGGGAGAGATTTAGTTAAAAGTCCGCGTCGTCATACCCTTGTCGAGAAACTGCCAGATACCATCATAGATACGGCTGAAGAAAAGGCTGGTGACCTTAAGACTTCATCCTCGAAGCCGGCAACCCAAGAAGGTCCAATAGAACCTGACATGCGGAACGGCAATATTGCGCGGTCAGATATAAAAAATGGATCGAATATCCGTGGCCTTCGGAAGCCTAATGAAAGTTATAAAGAAAGTTGCGAAGTACGCCATCAGGTTTCCGACGGGGAGCATATTTTGCCTCTTCCACCACCAGGTAGTAAGCTAAAGAGACAATATGTATCTCCAACTCTTCAGGCATATGAGGAAGATGATCCCACCGGGGTCATAAGACCTCGTACTAAGGCCGTCCCCAACAGTAGAGAAGTTAGGGAGTATATTCGCGTATTTCACCAGCCACCAATCACCCCTCGTCACAGCTCCAAGAACCTTAGCGAAAACTCTCCAGGAATGGAGCTTCAACCCCGTCGATGGGCCACCATTTCTGAGGGCTTCCGCAAAGATGCAGATGTATACAGCTTGAATGACGGCACATCTGAAGATACGATAGACTTTTCCACCCAATACAACAATGATAAACAAGGGGGGGAAATACCAAGCATCGAAGTGTCGACATATAACGGTAACCGGAATGTGTTGACTACTAGACTCGGAAGATCTCGAAGGAAGGCGGCTTCCAAGAGAATTCACGAGTTGCGCAACGTCAGCCTCCGGAGCAGGTCTCATGTCAGTATCAGGGATGGACAACGATTCAGCCTTACCAAGTCGGTGAAGCGACAGCCTATAATCGCTCGCGACTGGTCTCCTATCCGTAAGAGATTTGTCGCCTCCGTCGCGTGCATCAGTACTGCCTTGATTGGTATCCTGGTAGGAATCTATGCAGGCTTGGTTCCGTCAATTCAATACTTCATTGCAGATTTCCACCATTACTCAATTATCGGCAACGTAGTATTATACCTTGGAATGGCATTGTCGACGTTTTTTTGCTGGCCGTTGCCACTGCTACACGGCCGGAAGCCATACATCTTATGCAGCCTATCCGTAGCTCTGCCGCTTCTCTTCCCGCAAGCTGTTGCGGTTAGCATACCCAGATCACCGTACACGAGCGTTTGGAGATGGGCGTTACTTCTTCCTAGAGCAATCATGGGATGTGCTTTGGGTTTCGCGAGTATGAATTTTCATTCGATACTAACTGACCTCTTTGGGGCATCCTTGATGAGCAGCAATCCGCACCAAGAGGTCGTCGACCAATACGACGTAAGGAGACATGGCGGAGGGCTCGGGATTTGGCTGGGCGTCTGGACCTGGTGTTTCATCGGCTCATTAGGTATCGGCTTTCTGATCGGTGCCGTAGTCATTGACACTCTAAAGCCATCGTGGGGACTTTACATTAGCATCATGCTAATTGCACTCGTTCTCCTTCTTAACGTCCTGTGCCCCGAAGTTCGACGTTCAGCTTAGAGACGCTCCGTCGCCGAGGTCAGGACCCCTGTAGGAATATCCCGAAGAGTAGCTCGCGGGGAGATTATGATGCATCGAGTCAAAGATGGTCCCAAATGGTGGGGACAGGAGATGTATCACGGGGTCGCTCTATCTCTTGAAATGCTTCGTCAACCGGGCTTCAGTATTATGGCCATATATTCCGCGTGGATATATGCTCAAGTCGTTTTAATCATCGTTGTAAGTCAATTTCATATTTTATCAAATTGCATCGTCCGCTAACGATTCGAAGCTCCTAGGGTCCTTGTCGTCTAGACACTACCATTTCCGATCTCCGTACGTAGGTGCCGCGGTCTCTTCCATCGCCATCGGAGCGCTTGCAGCAGTGCCGTTCCAAATGGCAAATCTCTTTTCACGGTCACGATGGACAGGTCCGCCAACAAACAGTATGACCTTCGAGAAGTCGGTAACTTGGACCTCCCACCTCGTTCGGCGCTCTATTTTCATTATCGTACTCCCGATTGCCGGAATTCTATACACTGTAGTGTCATCTGGCCCGCCTGTCCATGTCGTACTTCCTTGCTTATTTGCGGCTATGATCGGGTTCTTATCGTGTCTTGCAATAGCTGAGTGCAATGGTATACTGATGGAGACATGGGATTGCTCTGACTTTCAGCCGGGCATGACGGGTCGGTCTAGATCAAGCAAAGATAGTACCAAACGGACCAATTACTCATCTTTTCCCCGAGTTACTGCTGGATGGAACATCATTCACAGCATCGGCTTTATTCTTGCCGCGGGAGCAACCGGTATCGGTGGCATAGTCACACGGAATCTAGGGCAGAGGGCTGCAACGGGTATTGTCGCATCCATCTTGTTCATACACTCTCTCCTACTACTGGCCGTGTTTGCTCGTTTTCGCAGGATACAAATCATACCCAACTCAAAGAGCCTCGAGATGGAAAGATGGACTGAAGAACGTCGACATAGTCTGGCTCGACATGCCTCAGCAGTAGCCGCTGCTAAAGCTAATGGTCTTAAAGATGTCACCGAGATCCCCGAAGAAGACGTTGGCTAGAGGCCTCTCGTTCTTGGTCACCCATCAGAGAAATTCCGTCGTATGAATATCCTCGAGCTGGGTTCCTTGACTCGCTGGAGCGAAATCCGCAAGAAGAACCGATTGATCGACGAAGGCGTTCATCTCAATCGTCAAACAGTGAACTTAGCGCGCGACGAAATTGACCGGAAACGCCACGAAATTATAGGTGACGTCCACCGGGGTGCAGAAGTCGTTGGGGACCTCGTCCGCAAAGTAAGCAAGAGGAGCAAACGCAGTCACGACAGTAATCACGATAACACTTCCCGAGATGATTCGGATGACATGGGTCCGTTAGGCCCAGCAGGGGCCGGACTTGAACATGAGCATTCCTCGTTACCCCGTGAGGTTTATGCCGAGCGCGAATGCGTCATGGGCCAGGCCGTGCCAGAGGAAGCGGAGGTTTCACCGATAGACGACGCATCGGACGACAACTCGGGCGATGAACATGAATGGATACAAATGGAAGATCATTCATCTCATATGACCTCCAAGGTTCAGCCATATACTGACTTCAAAAGACAAAAATTGCAAGGCGGCCAACCTAACACGGGGGATTATGTGATCGACATGGATACCATCCAAGGTGAACATACCTCGCATAGCGAATCAAAGGTCAAGCCCGCTGAGCTAGGCGGTTCAGAGCAACATGGCGTAGGCAAGTCAGCAGACACAGAACTCGAAAGGCTAACCCAAGAGCACCGCGCTCATATGTATATGAGCAAGGTTAAGCCCGCACGTACGGAAGTCGAGGATGCTGGTTCGAGCGGGAAATCTAGCCGCAGAAGTTCAAAAGTAACGAAGCAAGATTAAAGAGGAGCCCCAGTAGGGGTGGAGGTTGTTAAACCCAAGACGGGACAGGAGAATGGTACTATGAAACCTGTATTAATACTATGAGAATAACTAGATCTTCAATCCCGAACCTATTATCACCTAATAAATGTTGACTAGTGTTGGTTAAGTGTTGGTTGTGTTGGTTATGTTGGCCAAGTGTTGGGGCGGGTATTGAGAATTATAAATTGGATAGGTAATTCCTCGGGTAGCCCCTATTAACGGTGATGATCGTCCTAGATGGATATTTGTATGTACATATGCAATTATAACAAAGTCTAGAAAAAGGAGACCATGTTTCAATGCATAAAAAAAAGGGTATGTCATATTGAAGCAACTTCCTGACTTATACGAATGGACGTACAAAGAGGTAAGTAAGCAAAGTAAGCAAGACATAATTGGTTCTTCGGACATAATGATAAGCCTATAATCCCACGAGTTACAATTGCTAGATTGAGTCTAGCCACTTGTACTTGCTACCGACGCCGCAAGTCAACTTTTTATTCACATTTCGTCATCAACCAGCCAACGAAGTAATGCTAGCAACCGCGCCATTATGAAGCTCTACGCTATCGGAGATCTCCACCTGAGCTACGAGTTCAACAGGAAAGCCCTCCAGGAACTAAAACCGCATCCGGACGACGGTCTGATCTTATGCGGTGACATAGGCGAGACGGCCGAGCACCTGGAGCTAGCCTTCTCGGCGGCCAAGCGTAACTTCAAAGAGGTCTTCTGGTGTCCCGGCAACCATGAGCTGTACTCGATGCAGTCGTCCAGGCCGGACCTGCGCGGCGAGAGCAAGTACGAGTACTGCGTAGACATAGCGCGCAAGCACGGCGTGCACACGCCCGAAGACGACTTCGTGCGCTGGGAGGGCGAGGGCGGGCCCGCCGTCATCGCGCCCATCTTCACGCTGTACGACTACAGCTTCCGGCCCGCGGACGTCAGCCGCGAGGACGCGCTGCGCTGGGCCGAGGAGACGGACACGGTGGCTACGGACGAGTTCCTGCTGCACCCGGACCCGCACGCGACGCGCGACGACTGGTGCCGGGCGCTGGTGCGCAAGTTCGAGGACAAGCTCGCGCGCGCGGTGGCCGAGCATCCCGATGCCAAGCTCGTCATCGCGAACCACTGGCCGCTGCGCGAGGACCTCGTGTATATACCGCGGGTGCCGCGGTTCAGCCTCTGGTGCGGGACGAAGGCGACGGAGGACTGGCATACGCGCTTCCCGGCCAAGGTGGTGGTGTCGGGACACTTGCACGTGCCGCGCACGGACTGGAAGAAGGGGGTCAGGTTTGAGGAGTGCAGTTTGGGGTATCCGAAGCAGTGGGGCGATGTGCATGCCAGCGGGAAGGATATCAACGATGTTTTGCGGGAGATCTTGCCGGGGCCGGAGGCGCCGCTGGGTGGGGAGGCGGAGATGAGGTGGCGGAGGTGGGTTTGATGGGGGATGGGGGGGATTTTGCATAGGGGGTATGAGATATGAGGCATGAGGTACTACATCGTCTTGGTGGTATAGAGGGTATTATATTATAGTCTATGGTTTATTTGTCTATTTTAGAATCACGGCTATCTAAATGTAGAGTCCTGAACGGATCTAATCACGCAGACTCCCATCGCAAAAGGGGCTAAATAGGTACCTAGTGTGGGATCATGACAGTGAGGGTGATTTATTAAATGCCTAAACTACCCTGGGAGAGATATCTATAGGTATACTAGACTTTGTTATACTCATACTCCACTGTATCTTACGGAGACCTTTCTGCCTACACCTATCAGTACAGGCCGGTATTTCTACCGAGTGTTGAGCGATAAATTGAAGACAATCAAGTAAACATCTTCGTCTGGACGATCAATTGTCGAGGTGTATGTTCGGCGGTACGTACGGAAATATACGCCTCCTAGCAGTACGATGACGCCTGGTCTCCGGCCGATGCAAGATGAAGATCTGGAACTCTGTTTACTATCTTTTAAATAGATATATGGCAAGATTCGAGCTCATTCTGGATTCTCACCAAAGATCGCCAACTGTACCTACCTCGTCTTCGTACATCTTGCCTTTAATAGGGGCGTGCCTGGTTTAAAAAGAGTATATCATCGGATACAATCATTTATCTATATATCTCTTGGAAACCCGGGGAGGCACCTATAAACTACATACCTCCTGAGGTAATATAGTTGGCTGCCAACTATTCATCCTCCATAATAATTAACATATAAAAAAACAACACATAAGAGATTCCCTATTATAATTCTAAATTCTATCATTAACTTTCAAGTATCAAACCACTTTCAAATCAGGCAGTAACCAACAACGCTAGGTACCTACCTAGGTAGTTTCCAAGCCCCTGTTCGGGTATCCGCGGGGGCCCGACTATAACTTGGCAGCTACTGTATGTACTATCAAATTTACCCCTGAACATAAATAAAATCCACAAAAACCTCCATCTTGCTTCTACATACACAATTCCCTTAAAAAAAACCACAATTACTCTTGACTCTAACCTTCAAAATGGCGGATATTGTGAATTCTACGATAAGCGCAAGCTCGGAAACGCCTTCACACCCCTACTATCCTCTGGGCGTTGTAATCGCCGACTACGCGGCCAAGACCCTCTCGACGCAGGAGATTCTAGCCATCTTCACGACGACATGCATCTGCATCCTCGGTCCGACGTGGTTCTACCTGCGTTACGCGCGGCCTAACCTCCCGCTTAGCGACGTCTTCACGACGCTGTGGTTTGTCCTGTGCGGGTTCATCCACCTCGGCTTAGAAGGTAACGTACAGCTCGTATGTAGATCATATCATATCATATACTAACACAATCCAGGTTACTTCGCGCTGCACGCACGCGACATAGCCAGCCGGTCAGCCGTGCTCGCGCAGCTCTGGAAGGAATACTCCCTCTCCGACTCGCGGTACCTCACGGCGGATACCTTCGTAGTCTGTATGGAGACAGTAACAGCCGTGTTCTGGGGCCCGCTATCATTCGCGATCGCGTGGTGCATCGCAGCCGAGCACCCGCTACGCCACCCGCTGCAGTCCATCGTCAGCCTGGGCCAGCTCTACGGCGACGTGCTGTACTACGGTACCTGCACGGTCGACTTCATCGCGTTCGGGCGCGAGTACTCGCGCCCCGAGCTCGAGTACTTCTGGGGGTACTACGTTTTCCTGAATGCGTTCTGGATCGTGATTCCGCTGTGTCTGATTGTGAGCAGCGCGCGTGAGACGGCGAGGGCTTTTGCGGAAGTGCAGGGGAGCGAGAAGGCTGAGAAAACGAAGTAAGGCTTGGTGGGATGTTGTACAATACGTACCTGACGTATCGCTGTACGGTTGTGATTGTGGGGATAATCAGCTTAGTATAGATGAGAAAGAGTATAGATGAGAAAGCCTGTTTCATTATTCTGGCACCTTTTTGGTACGGGTTTACCAAACATTATACCTTAGGTTAGGTACTCAATATTAATACCTACTCCTATGTATTAACTTGAAGAAAAGAGGCTGAAATCCCACGCAGTAGCATCGCATTAACAACGCCTAAAATATAAACTAGGTACCTAGCTTTAACCAATCAAATATCACCAATTCTCTTCTTTATATACGTCAGACCGGCAACTCGGAGTTTCTAATGTGGAGGTAAGGTGGAGGTTAGCTCTAGCTACACTTACACTAGCTACACTTACACTAGCTACACTTACACTGAGTATGTAAAAGCTCACTAAAACCCCTCATTACATAGTATAACACATCTACATTACATCTACATCTCCATCTCATATCCCAAACTCACTCACCACCATCCACAACCATGGTCTACACAATAGTCGTACACCTCCGCGCCAAGCCCGGCGCCGATAACATCGCTAAGCTGCACGCCAAGCTCAACGAGGCCTCCGCCATCTACTCCAAAGACCGGGAGACCATATCTTGGTTCGTCAGTAAGTACCTACCTCCCCCCCTTTACCTATATACCTACACCTCTCTCCCCCCTCACCGAAGCGTATTGAACCCAACCCCTAACCCACCACAGTGCAATCGATCAACGACCCTCAAGAATTCACCATCGTGGAGCGCTTCGAAAACGAGGCGAGCCAGAAGTACCACCTGGAGAACCCGTACTGGAAGACCTTCGACCCCTTCGTGGTGCCTCTACTGGAGAAGCCCATGGACTTGCGACGCCACGAGGAGTTGTTTTCTAAGCCTGGCGAGGAGGCTTTGCTGAAATAAATGACCTAATGGTCATTCATCGTGAAGCGGACTCGTTACTTATGGCTGCGCTATAGGTGGTTTTCATGTTTGCTTCACATGGGAGTGAGATGGATGAGACATCATCATGTATCTCATTTAAGCTAATATTATATCACTTATATAGACGGCTTACTGAACGGGGTAAACCCATAGTACCAAGTAATTCCGCTCATGCGTTTAAATTCATTGTCTGCCTGTATCCAAGAAACACGTAGCCCGCTCATCACCTCCCAGAGCGTGCCTTAGGCATCTTCTTCTCCTCGAGCTCCTCCAAATCCTTTTTCTTGTGGAAGTGCGGTGCGACCTCGTTTAGCCAATGCGGTTTGATAGGCATGCAGCTGCGCATGTACTCTTTGTTGGTGAGCACCAACTCGTAGTAGATTACCATCTTTTCCGGCGGATCTGACTTCATCAACACCGAGCTGGGGTGGATCCACACCGTTGTGTTATTCTTGACGGTTCGATAGCTGTCACCGCTGCGCTGTAGCTTGGCTGCGTTCGGGAAGAAACCTGCTGTGAGAGCCTTTTTAATGGGCTCGATATTGGCCGAACCGCAGGTAGACGGCGCTACTTCTACGCGCTCGCAGAGCTTGGCGAGTTGATCACGAACATCCCGGGCACGAGTCAGAGAGCGCTGCTGTAGGAAATTCTCCCGCGACCAGATGGGAGAGAAGTCGCTGTCAACCCACTGGTTCCAGATATTAAGCAGCGTTAGATGGTCGCCACCCTCCTTGACAGTGAAGCGGTTACGGGCGCTATCGGCATGTATCTTCTTGTCTTTCGGCCGGAAAAACAGAGCCGAAGCCTCGCTCAACATTGATACAATTGACAAAACTTCGTCAACGCATTTGAACTTGTCTGCGGCGAGAACAGCTTTCGCGAGCATTGGATCCGTAGGAAACTCGGCCATCTGCCTACCAACCTTGGTAAGCTCGCCTTTGTGGTTGAGAGCTTGCAAGGCGAAAAGTTGATTTAGAGCCCCGATTAAAGATTCGGTAGGGGGAGGATCCATGAATTCGAATTCGAGTAGTTGGTTAATCCCAAGCGACTTCAGTAATAGCACCACGCTGTTTAGGTTGGTTCTTTGAATCTCGGGCGTGGTCGATTCGTCCATTTCGTTCATGTAGGCATACCTAGTATAAAGGCGAAAGCACTTGCCAGGCCCAACACGTCCGGCACGTCCACTGCGCTGATTTGCAGAGGCTCGAGAACATGGAACGACGACGAGATTCGACATCCCCGTCGCTGGGTTATAGATGTTCTCCTTGACGTATCCCGGGTCAATGACATACGTGATTCCGTCGATGGTCAAACTTGTCTCGGCGATATTGGTAGCAAGTACAACCTTACGAGCACCGTCCGGAGTGGGCTCGAAGATCTTGCTCTGGAGTTCTGAAGGCAGATTGGCGTAGATGGGACAAACAATCAGCTCCTTTACTCGATTTCCAAGCTTCCTTGCCGTCTCTGTTAGCTGTTGTTCTGCAGCTTCGATCTCATCTTGACCTGTCAAGAATACCAGAATATCTCCTTTTCCTTGACTGGTATGAATTTGAAATATCGTTGTAATAGCAGCCGTTAAGTAGTTTGCTTCAGGTGCCGGAGTATAGTAGATGTCGACAGGGTACCGTCGTCCTGGAATGTTAAAGATCGGAGCGTCGTCGAAATACTGCGCAAACTTTTCGGCATTCATCGTGGCCGAAGAAATGAGCAGTTTCAGGTCCGGTCGTTCCCTGGCTAAATCCTTCACTAAGGCAAGGAGAATATCGGTATGAACTGTCCGCTCGTGAGCCTCGTCAATCATCAAGGCTGAGTAACCTGCAAGATCCGGCTCCGTCATGAATTCTCGAAGTAACATGCCGTCGGTCATATACTTCAGAATAGTTTTATCACTAGTAGCGTCTTCGAATCGAATCGAATAACCGACTTCGTTGCCAACCTTGACTCCCATTTCTTCCGCAACTCGAGCTGCTACACTCATAGCAGCAACTCTTCGGGGCTGTGTACAGCCTATTTTGAGTCCACCTTTCGTATAACCGGCCTCGTGCAAATACTGGGGCAGTTGCGTAGTCTTTCCACTGCCCGTCTCACCAACAAGGACTAAGATCTGGTGTTGCTCGATAGCGGCGATAAATTCGTCTCGGTATTTGTATATTGGCAAGCTCTTTCGAGTTTCTTCGATGGATAATGCTTTCTTCTCCGCGGCCTCAATTTGCGCTTCCAAAAACCTCTGTTCTTTGGTCAATGTCTTCCCCTCCCCTGCTAATGTCGAGCCCATATTCCACTGAATGTACTGCTCGGGATCAAGAACAGGGGCATAATCCCCTTCATACTCCCTTTCCGCCCTGTTAATCTGAGCCTTTGCCTTTTGTGTCTGCTCCCTCTCCCACTCTTCGTGTTCTGTAACAAATTTCTCTTGGCCGTACTCATCTCTTTCGACATATCGTTTATACAGCGCCTCCTCTTTCCGTTTCCTGTCTATCTTGCCTTTCTCCGTGATATAGTCTTCCGGCATATAATAACCATCCCGATGATCATCGATCCGCAATCGCTCTTCGGCTAATCGTAAAATTTCACGGTTCTTCGCAAACTCGGCTTTTTCTCGCTCGGATAACCGCACACCACTATTTAGCTCTGCTGTCTCTTCTGCGACTTGTTTCCGTAGTAGTGCTAATCTTTCTGCCTCCCTCTTCTTTAGATAATCCTGTCTCGAGCGCTCTCGTAAATCTGGCATAGCGGCTCTGGTTGCAGAAAGTTCTTCGGCCAGACGCTGCCTTTCCCTTTCGGCTTTGCCTTCGCTCTTTGATTTGCCCCCATCTCGCTCCTTGAGACGCTTAGCGAAGGCTTCTCGCTCGGCAATGTCGCGCGCAGTATCGGAATCAGCACCGTCATCCTCTCCCTCCCGTTCATCATGACTTAACTTGACGCGCTTGGGAGCGGATTCTTTGAACTCGGGCTCTTCATCGCGTCCGTCGTCCGAAGGTTCAGGCTCGCTCCCTGGCTCCTCATCGCCCCATCTATCATCAAAGTCATCCTCGGCGCGTTTTCGGATCGATTTCGTTTTATGTCTATTCGAATCGCGACGTGGCGAACGACTGCGGCTACGACTCCGACTCTGGGTTCGATGCGACTTGCGATATGAATCACGATGAGAACTAGATTTTCTTGTTTCGTCGTGACGCCTATGTTTGGATTTCTTCTCGACTTTCTGAGGGCCTACTTCGCCTTCATCCATGGGAATAAAGGCGTATCGTTTGTTGCTCATGATTGGTCTTTGAAGTTATGATAGTGAATAGATTAAGAGAACTGATATGGCGGCCGCGTTGCTACTGAGAACGCAAATCCCGGCTCACGTTCCAGGACCAGAAGACGAGGTTTGCTCACATATGGCTGACACCGGGGCGTATGTAGGTGAATAACAAAGCTATTCGGGATTGTTTCGGAGATGGTGGAGGATTGGATTTAGTGCTGGAAATGAAAGTAAAAATTGATAAACGCGCTATGCTATGTAGCAGTTGTAGTTGGAAGCTTACCGTAGTTGCCTTGTATTTTTTTTGGATCACTTCCTTTAGATAACAACCAATCACAACTACAATTAACGCCAAGTTAAACCCGCTTTTTAAAGTTGCAGGGCTTATCTTATCAAAGCGGGTCTAAGACCTTGCTTAGAAGTTCTTACCACGTTGACACGCTGGTATTTTTCAAGGGTAGACGGTTTTCTTAATAGTGGCCTTTAATAGTAGTAGTAGCTACCTCACTAGAGCTACGTCTCTGCATTTATTCTACTTGGACACTTGGGTATCTCTTACAACTTTTACAACTTATACAACTTATACCTTATACCTCCAAAATACCACGTTGGCCAATTCCCATGCTGATCCTCCAATATCCATGGGAGAATTGTCCTTCGTTGTTTTTCATAGAGTCTCCCATACTTAATATCATTTCTAGTTGTCTTTGATATACGATACCATTTTCTGTCGCAGTCACTTAGCGGGCTTTCGCAAGCCGCCATTCGCTTGGTATGATGCTATTCCAGTGGGCAACCCTCGGGTTGCTCTTTATTCTGGCTCAGCTCGCATTTTGCGCTGAAGACTTTTATAAAGTACGTCCTTTTGAAGTTGTCTAGGTAGCAATTCAGTATTAACTAGTCATGATCAGATTCTTGGGGTAGACCGTCAGGCGACAGATAAGCAGATCAAAACAGCATATCGACAATTAAGCAAGAAATATCACCCGGACAAGAATCCGTAAGTCAACGAACCGTTCAAACAAACAGTGATGTAAATTAGTAGCTTATGCGATATCCAGAGGCGACTCTACAGCTAAGGACAAGTTCGTCGAGGTCGCCGAGGCCTACGAGGCTCTAATCGACCCGGAGTCCCGAAAGATCTACGACCAGTACGGACATGATGGTCTAAAGCAGCGCAGCCAGGGGGGCGGACACCACCATGATCCGTTTGACTTGTTCAGCCGATTCTTCGGTGGAGGTGGTCATTACCAGAGGGGACAGCCGCGTGGTCACGACATCGAGATCAAGGTCGGAATTTCCCTACGCGACTTCTACAACGGTCGGGATACGGAGTTCCAGTGGGAGAAACAGCAGATTTGCGAGGAGTGCGACGGGACGGGATCGCAAGACGGTGTTGTAGACACGTGTCATCACTGCGGCGGCCATGGCGTGCGCATTATCAAGCACCAGCTAGCACCAGGCATGTTCCAGCAGATTCAGACTACTTGCGATGCCTGCGGCGGCCGCGGCAAGACGATCAAGCATAAGTGCCCGGTCTGCGGCGGTAACAGGGTTATCCGCAAGCCAACTACCGTTTCGCTTAAGATTGAGCGGGGTGCTGCCCGAGATGCTAAGATTGTATACGAGAACGAGGCCGATGCGAGCCCCGATTGGATTGCTGGTGACCTCGTCGTTACGCTCACCGAGAAGGAGCCTGATTTTGAGAACGATAATCCCGATCATGTGGACGGCGCTTTCTTCCGGCGCAAAGGCAACGACCTTTTCTGGCGAGAAGTCTTATCTCTTCGGGAAGCCTGGATGGGCGAGTGGACCCGCAACTTAACGCATCTAGATGGTCACGTTGTGAGGTTAAGCCGGAAGCGCGGCGAGGTCGTGCAGCCTGGCCATGTTGAAACGGTGGAAGGCGAAGGGATGCCTATATGGAGCGAGGACGGGGATTCGGTATACCACCAAACCCAATTCGGCAAGCTGTATGTCGAGTATGTCGTAATCCTACCGGACCAGATGGAGTCCGGGATGGAAAAGGACTTCTGGTCCGTGTTCCAGAAATGGAGAGGCAAGGTCGGTGTGGACCTACAAAAAGATAGCGGCAGACCGGAAGGCGCCATACCTATAAAGGAAGAAAAGGACGAGCTGTAATGATACCTATAGAATATAGAGAGATGAATCATGTGAAAATATTACACATATAAGACGCTAATATGCTTACAGTCTCTGCACTGTGTATGTCTTGTCTTGTCGTGTCGTGTCGTGGGTGCGTGGGTGCGATGGATGGGGTGCTCCAACTAACCAATCGAGTTGGAGATATTTCCTGTCGTATATGAATCGAATATATTGTTTCATGGTGCGGCTGTCAGATAGGGGATAGGGTTACGTCAAATCAGGGTTACGCTTCCCCGGCCATATAAATAGTCGCCAACCCCAGGGGCCAACCCAGCAAGAATTCTTACTTCCTTTTTATTTTTTCCCCTCCCCCTTACTCTACCTACGTATAGCTTTCCCCTGAAGGGTGACTGACTCATCCCATCATGTCTCTCGTCAGGCGCACATTCGACGCCTTCTTGGGCTTCCTCTTCCCCTGGAACTTCCTACTAGTATCGGCATTATGTCTCCCCAAGACCATACTCCGGCTCCTGCGCGAGCGCAAGTTCGCCGAACTGCTATCCCCCTCCAGGTTGCAGGAAGCTTGGTTCAGCGATTTCTGGGGGGGCATCGCAGGGCCGAATATCAGGCGTGACGCCGCTGTGCGCGTTATCCCACTGCTGCAGGGCCGTGCTACTAAGGGTGCCGTGGTCGACGAGCAGGTTGCCCCTGCGCTCGCTGGCACGGTCGTCGAGGTCGGCGCCGGCTCTGGGCTCTGGGTCGATATGTACAAGGATATCGCCGAGGTGCGCGCAGAAGAATCAGACGGCGCGGCCAGGCGGCGCAAGGTCGGTAGCAGCGCTGCTGTCGACGGGCCTATCACGCGCGTATACGGCATAGAGCCGAACGTGAACCAGCACCCGGCGCTACGGCAGGCAATCGCCAATGCCGGGCTCGAAGACGTATACCGGATCGTGCCGGTGGGAATCGAGGATCTAGACGACGCGACGAGATGGGACGGGCTCGTGGAGAAGGGCAGCGTGGACTGCATCGTGAGTATCCTATGCCTGTGCAGCATCCCCGACCCGGAGAAGAATATCCGCGAGCTGTACCAGTACCTCAAGAAAGGGGGGCGGTGGTACATATACGAGCACGTGCGGTGCGAGAACACCTGGTACATGAAGGCGTATCAACGTGAGTCTTCCCCCTTTACTTTCCTACCTACCACCTGCTAGGTTAGATATACCTAGCAAGTACCGTACTAACCATCGGGGATCTACACAGGTTTTCTCAACGTGTTCTGGCCGCACTTCATCGGCGGCTGTCTGCTCTGCCGACAGACGGAGAAGACGCTGCGGGAGGCAGGGCCCTGGGAGAAGATCGATGTCGCTCAGCCCGTAGCCGAGCCGTGGTATCAAGCCGTCCCACACAGATTAGGGGTTTTTACGAAGTAAATATATATATATACTACAGGATAGGTAGGAAAGGAACGAGCTGGACTGGTCTTACTGGTAACTACTACTCTCCTTGAACCATGATAATGATGCATATAGGACCATCCTCGTTTAGATTAGTTAGTTAGAACGATATAGTTTTAGATATTCTCATTGAAACTATATATCTAGTAAAAAGACCATAGATATCTAATTTCCTATGAAGTTAAGACTGATACATGTGCAATTCAGATGGCTTCGTATAACCATCGGAAAGGGGGACGTTGAAAGAGAGGGGTATGAGGTATTTATTATATTGGGGTAAACAACCTCGTAACGCCATATTAGTTTTCGCATGTTCTTTTAACTCATCAATCTTGCTATTATTCGTTTCACGTTCCCCTTTAGCCGAACATAATGGTCGAAATCACAAATACAGTTGACTATGATGCAGAAAAGCTAAGACTGTGAGGATGACCACGAGAAAATATCATAGAATAGAGATATAATATATGTTCATTTCCCATCTGGGACGTCATGCCACAAAGGAAATATCTCTAATTTACAATTACAGTATCGTAATATTTTTCATTCCATCATAACCCAATCCAAAAAACGCTCTTATAATCCCATATGCGTCTCTTGGTGCGACGCCACACTATTCCGGCGTTGGTGGTCTCCATGGTTTCCGTGCTCGATCGTCGGCTCTCCGATATGTCGACGTAGAGTGGAGGGGGGTACCTGAGCGGCGTCTGTGGGATCCTTGGCATAGTTTCCACTTCCAGCAACCGTTAATAAAAGTTTATCCAAAAATGGGGAATAGCAAGCCGAAAGGCGACAGTGGCGTACTTACGACTGGTAAGTCTTGTCGCCGCCGACGGTCCGGGAGTGGTCGAGATCGCTGTCGACTCTGGGGTCAAGCTTGTTGAGGATGTTGCTGTTGTGGGGACCAGCGGTGTCGGGGGCAGGACCTGGGCCGGAGTGGGTGGAGTGAGTTCCAGTTGCACCGTGGGTTCCAGTCGTGCCGTGAGTTCCGGTCGTACCGTATGCGCCGGTAGTACCATGGGTACCAGTTGTACCATGGGTGCCAGTCGTACCGTGAGTGCCGCTCGTGTTGTAGGTGTCAGAAGGACCGTGAGTGCCGGTGGTACCGGTAGTAGTACCGTGAGCTCCGGTGAGACCATGAGTACCCGTAGAAGCATGAGTACCGCCAGCACCATGGTTACCAACACCGTGTCCGTAGTTACCGGTGGTGCCAGTTGTGCCGGTTGTACCGGAAGTCGAATCATAGCCGTGTGTGCCGGTAGTAGAGCCGTATCCAGCACCAGTGCTGCCAAAGTTGTTACCCGTGGTGCCGGCGGGAGTATACCCGGCGCCAGTAGTTCCGGCAGTGCCTGAGCTTCCGTATGTGTTACCGGCGGTGCGAGAGCCGTCTCGGTCCGAGTCGACACGAGGATCAACAGCGTTACCTAGTCGGGAGTTGTGGGGTCCACCAGCTCCTTCTCGGCCACTGCCACCATAGTCGCCGGCGGTGTTGCCCGCAAAGCGGCCATCTCGGTCTGAGTCGATTCGTGGGTCGGCAGCATTAGCTACACGAGAGTTGTGTGGTCCAGAAACACCTTCTTGGTGGGCACCGGTTGTTGCAGTGCCAGTTCCGCCATGAGTGTAGTTGTCTCCAGTGGTGTATGGGTGAGAGCCACCAACGGTTGAGCTGGGCGCGGCACGGTTGTCACCTAGATCAGATGTTAGTGGCCTTACGATACTAGAGTATCATAGGAATACGATTGATTACATACGATCGCTGTCGACTCTTGGGTCTGCGGCATTGGCCGTTCGGTTGCTGTGAGGTCCGTGTGTACCCTCGGGGGCGCTGTTGTGACTGGTAGAAGAAGAGTGGTGGCCAGTAACGGCTTCCTTAACCTTGTTGACTATGCCTGACATATTGGATAGTTGTGGATATAGCTAGTGAATATATATGTAGTAGTAAAGGGTATCAAGACTATCTTTAAGATAATGAGTAAATGTTGTTGATGTTGTTATTGATAATGATGGAAGAGAAAATGTTGTTGAGATCTGGGATTATCGACTTCTTATACTAATACGAAGCCAGCCTCGACATGTCTCCTCACCCTTTGTTTTCCAAGGCAGTCCCTCAATTTGCCGCATATTTCATCATCTGGAATCTCGATCAAGTTAGGTATCGTAGCCTCTGTCTCGAAGATTACGCCTTCAAAGGCTAGACTTGCCCAATCAATACGAGATACTGTACGAAGCTACAAGACGATGTGAAAGTACCTAGCTCTGACTTCATCGGTCGTCATCGCCCCTGATTGGGAATGCATGATCCCTGACAGACGCGGGTGTTAAGTAAGTAGAGTCTATATAGCGCCAGGTACTCTATCAAGCCTGGAACTAGTGACACAGGTCCAGCCTTACTGGCTACCTTGGGTCCTTAGCTACCTTGGCTACTTGGACATGTTAGTATACTGCCCTGTGGCTTGTCCACTGGCGTCATACATAGTGAATGCTCATATGTAGGTATGCTGTGGCGGTTATATCCATGGACGCTACTGGTGGGCAGGAAGATGACGATATGTATGTGGGGGATTCGTGTAGGGTACAACTTCTTGGACAAAGCCGAATCCTGTAACTCTTAACCGGTCCATTTTATCGAGCGTGCATAGCCTCTTTCTTACATTAGCTTCCCAACTAAGAAATTTGCCGACGGGCTCGACCATATTAGTGGCTTAGAGTTGGTATTTTGTTGTCCTTACTCCGATATGAAGTATATTTGAATCATGTTGCCGACATCCGAAAGATCATGTAAGGGATTAAAGCCGTGAAGGTGGCTAGTGAGTCTAAAAAGATGTGCAAAAGTTGTAAGATGTGGCGTCACATTGACCAATCCGCCACAGGGTCTCGACCCCCCTAACCCCTGTGGACTCCACCAGACGCCGTCATAGACTTCCCCGTTACCAACTTCTCAACTAGCGTCAACAAGAGACACCCTCTTTACGAAATCCCATCAAGTAGGTAGAATACCATATCCGTTTCATCTACAGATGATCGCGGCATTTATTCATCATAAAATGGGTTCTATACAAATATCTGCGGACGAATATAGACTATTTGTCAAATAACTTTGAAGTGAGATGTCACATAACTTACATCAATATGATGTCAGTATCTCATTACGCATTGAGGGCATGAAGTTGCGATTGGCTTGGCAGGAACAATACATGATTGACCCATTGAGATGCTCAAGCTAGATCAGGGCTGCAGGGTCTACCTTAGTCTCTGGATTACCTAGTACTCGGAATCATCTTAGATCATGGTCCATACCATAGCAGTGTGTAGCCAGTTGCTACTTACGAGGAAGAGGTATCGTTTATCCCACCAGCCTACAAGATACTTCGCATCCAGTCTCGTGGAAATTTCAATGGTAAATATTAATATTATTGTTTCATTAATAATACGGGTATCTCTCATAGTGCTATTACATGCTCCAGCTCAATATCATCAATGTCATTAAAGAGCATCAGCCACAAGCCGCATCCTAAAAACATCCGACAACGCCAACCAGATACCTCATTCTCATAAATTCGTTAATCAAATTGAAAAATAAATGATTTTTTTGGACTTTACTAAACCATACGCCAAAGTGACCGGAAAAGGACTTGGTGTGATGTCTCCCGAATCGTAAGTGCAACGCGTATTATAGAGTACGAGGTATAGGACCCCGATCGATTTTGCGCTATTTCGAGTAAGGTATCTTAGACACGGGATCCACGCCATCTTCGTCGACGGTAAGCCCGGGCCTCGTGATCTCGGACCCAGACGATGCCGACGATTGCTGAGATGAGCCAGCAAATGGCAGACAAGAAGGAGAATGCAATGATAGCTTTCCATTTTCCACACTGATCACCGCGGCGGAAGGAAACATTACCCCAATCGAAGGCGTATCCACAACCACCATCGAGGTACTACTCGAATGATTAGAACTTAAGTCTTCTATCGCGACATTATTTATAGGATGACTTACATTAACTAAAAGACCGAAGGCAACGAACCAACAAATGGAAATGAGAAGGTCGACAGGCCAGTGAACGAAGCTGCCCGCAAACGGGAAGAGCCAGACGATGGAGAGGAAAATTGCGAGACCAGCTACCACTTCGGTGTAGATGAAGCGGCCCTGGTCCCAACTGTCGGTATTTCGGACGGCATGGAGATACTGTCCGTTGATTCCAGCGACAATAGCTCCAAACACCAACTCCGCAAGGCGGAGGATCATGGAAAAGATGTCCGTCAAGATCATATTGGCTGTATGTACACGATGACGCCCTATTAGAAGGCTGCTTGTAGATTTGTAGATGCTTATGGGAGGATAGGAAGCTCGACAAAATATTGTATTTTAACAAAGAGAGACCAGGTGGAAAGCTTTTGTTAGGCAGCTAATCAGGTATTTATTTATATGGCATTTTGAACTATTCGATCTAAGCCACGACTTGGGCGACTGGGGTATGACGACGCAACGTGAGTTGTCTACATAGGCCGGCATCATGATATATTTGGGTTGGGATACCTTGTTCTGTTTGTCCCGAACAAACGCAATGCTACCTTGGCTCATGGACCCGACATATCACAATGTATAACTGAATGCACGAATCAGGATCTAAAGACTATATGTGCAGTACGTACGTATATTTGCAAGAGGACGAGATGTTTGATCCTTGTTGCGGATCGGTCAATCACCCCAGAATCTGTGATAAAACATGGCTTCAACGAGAACCAATACAATGAATAAAATAAATGTCATGTGGCTTGTAGACTCAATCCGGTTCTTTCGAGAATTGCGTGGAAAGTTGTGGCCAAGCAAATCACCGGTTGTGTGCCGCGTGTTGCGTTGTCAAGAAGATGAGGTCATACAAGTAAATTGGTTACCTGATGTACCTGATGTAGGTACCTGTTGGGGTACGTACCTGCATAATATACGCTGACGTAATTGGTAAGGCTCAGCTATGTACAAGTGAAAGGAGAAGCCCCGCGTTGACGCAGCCAAGCAGCCGAGCAGCCATTCAGCCATTGTACAATGGTACATAGCGGAACACGGCAAAATACCTCTTTAGTATTTCAACCAATTAGATTTGAAATGAGCTTTCTAACATTTGCCAATAACTGCGAGAACATATAAATTTAACTTTCACCATTTACTTACAAGCTTGAAGAAGCCGTTATGACTTGTGATAAAACCCTTGACAAGTTTATTATCTCTTAAAAGGATAATCATTTTGGTGTGGTTGCTCTAGGTCAAATCTCCTATTAGTCCCTATCCACCTAGCTGATCCCAAACACTGGGGAAGCAAATAGGGGAGCAATACTCAATAGTTAGACCAGTCATCATTAGTGTAATTACTGGCTGTTTTTCAATTAAAGCGCAACACTCTTTGGATGCGAGGAGGCGAAAGCTAGTACTGAAAGAATTAGTTTTAATTCAGTCTTTAGCTTTGAAAGGGGAATATGTAGGATTATGTTGCAGGGAAAACTGTTCGTATACCAACAATACTCAACCCCAGTAACTTGACCCCCTTTACGCACATACACACTCAGCAATATTCACTTCATATAGACGTATAGTACATAGAAAAATAGTCGAATGATGTCTTCAGCAGCATTTAAACTCACGTATGGTATTCCCGATATGCCCCCCGATATGCCAGCAGGTGTGAGTCAGGTAATCGCTAATTCTAGGAAGCCTTGACTTATATAAAAGTTACCTATCTTTGGTTTCTTACACGTAGATAATCTAGAGAGCGGCCTGGGAAATCGAAGGCTATTTATTTCCTCTATCACATACCTACGGCATTATAGAGACAGGTAGCCTTGAAGTATTAACGGGGCATTCCACCCGTAGTATGTGTCACTATTGAAGCTGATTGTCCAACGTCGTCACGGGCAGCCTGCAAAACAAATATTCGTCCGAACTTAGCGGAGCTTTAGGTACTGCTTTCTCCTTGGGGTTAGGCATTTCACTTCAAGGAGAGAAAAATACCACGCGTATCAGTTAGCATTCGGTTGTATCCGAGCTGAAAGTATCTATCTCGACGAGTTGTTTAAAATTTCTACTCCTTAAGTTAGGACGGGCCGTCTCCGCTAGTCGCTTTGTTCTGTACCCTCCTGCCTTCTTGAAGTTATCTCAACCGATTTTGGTGGTTTCAATATATATAATGCTATCAATACGGATCCTACGTTATCTGCACTGTGATTGTTTGGTCAGTCATGCTGTGTTTATCACTTGTTACGTCCAGAATCGGAGCTGAGAGACAACCAGTCCGCGCTACTCACACAGGGGGGGAGAGGGGGCATAGACTTCAAAATAATTCTCCACGATGGGATCTACGTGTGATTATAAGTGTGTATTCGGCTTCGTAAACCCGCCCGGAAGTGGAAGGGACTTCAAAATCATAGAACTTGATCTACGCCTTGGCCTCAGGGTAGACCTGCGAGTATATACGGGATGGGGAGACACTTCCATTTTCCAGAAACAGCGAGTCATTTCTGTGTACTCGTGGACGTGGCAAGTTCCCTCAGAACTACATGCACGGCGCAGGAAGCTGGGATAAGCTGTGTGAATATTCCGTTCTCGCCGTTATCTCCCTGTCCATCTAGACGCCTTTCGATAATCAACCTTGATGATACCAAGGCCGTGTTGAAGTCAAGAAACTGCGTAATACTTAAGGCACTGCGCTGTACGCATAGTGATTGGATCTGAGAGTATATCAAAAAGATACTATAGGGTAATCTACAGAGATTTATAGGCAATTACGAGAAAACATGATCGATGAGTGCATAAACGCAAAGTGGATGGGAGTTGATAGAATCAGGGTGTTCGTAGTTGTAGGAGGATAAGAGATATCGATACTAGGATAGTGACGAACGTGATGCCCCTTTTCGTTTCTTTCCGAGAACGATCCGAAGAACACGAAGAAATGTATCAGTTGCTTGGCCCAGAATTATTGCTTTCATGCGCGTAGGCTGGGGATTTCCCGATGGCATTACGATCATTTGTTAATGCTCTTATTTGGTTTGTTAAGCTAATTTAATAGGCCACTGCCATAAAAGTGTTGCTTTCTAATGATTTGCCACGTAATGTCCCTTTCCGTCCGCTGATAGGTTTTAATTATGACTTTTGCACCGAGAATCGAATGATAGCTACATCAAACCGGCAAAAAGAATAAGCAGTAACCTGCCATTGTGAAGAGCGCGGCGCCCTCGGGATACTGCTGTCGCCAAACCAATACAATAATCAGATGAATATTAGGTGCGAGACCGAAAAGGGGCCTTCTCGACTTGTATAGTGATAGCCGAGATCGCCGTTTAATTGACTGCCTCAAGCAGGTAGCTAACTCAAAACTCAAGAAAGGCACCCCTACTAAAGACAAGGGATGCAGGAGTCAATAATTGCTAGCTGGAGGGCCTCCCGGTTACTGCCAGAGCAAACGAGTGTCGTAGGCGACTGAAGAGGCTGTCTCCAGAAGTAACGTTCTGATACCGTCCCATCTCTCTACTGCTGTAACCGGTAACACATCCTGATCACGTTCACCTACAATATACCTACGACGAATGACTAGGTGTTCGGGTAAGCACTGCAATGCTGAATCCGAAGGCCTGTTGAACCGCAAGCAATCAGCGTACGTGCAGTTGAATCTTAACAAGCGCTGCTTGCGCCTGGAATAAGCCATCCTATAATATAATCATGCAGTATACTAAGCATGCAATCGGCATTAAATGAAGAAAATAAACAAAGACATAGAATAATACATCGCATTATAGTGTCATTTCGCGGAGTCGGTCATACTCACATAGACTGCCAGCATAGCAGCAGAGGTTGAACAAACCAGATCGTGGGATGAGTAGCACGAGAAACTGTACCGTGTTACGTAAGACCAAGAGTTTGGGGGTGCCAAATTCCGAGTTCATGATTGGATTTCTCTTATAACTTGATGTCACACTAGCCTGAAACTGGGAACCTTTCTCTAGCTTTCAGCTGATAAGAAGCAACCTGCGTACGAGCTATGCCAAGGGAATAAGTCGCGACGATGTATCCCGAGTCGGTTGAAAGCCTTATAAGGAAAGATATGAGGCATTCATGGACTAGGTAGGCAGTCAATAAATGGTGTGACTTCCTGATTCAGGTCGGATGTCGCGGGAAACATGGGTCGGGGAGGAAGCTCAAAGGTAGATGGTTGTAATATTGAGTCTAGGGCTCTGGGTCGCGAATAGGAGACGATATTCGAAGCAGGCTAGCCACTATTCGTTTCCTAATATCTGCTGACCTTTATCGAGACGTTATGGCAAGGAAATGCGCATACCTTGTTTATCGAGGCTCTTATTGGTTGCTGTTAAGAATAAGAAAAAAACGCCACAAAAGTAGGAAGAATCCTTGATAGAACATCCCACTCATACGTATACCTAGACATGCTCGGGCGTGAATGCGTAACGAAGTTTCGTAAGAAGAGGTAAGAGTTCGGTACCGGCAGGGGAGTACTGCAATGTGATCCAGATACAGTACTGACCGCAAAGGAAAATTGAGCAATGAGAGCCAATACCAATGTGTAAGTTGTGGATATACTATGCCCTGTGCTATGAGCAGATGGGCGATGCTTATTCGTCCTCGTGGAAAAATGGGGCGTGTAAGTGAGGCGAACCTGCATCCCTTGTGTATGTATGCACCTACCGGACAACAGTCGCATTCGGGACGAAGGTATGGCAAGCCGGACAACATAAATACACGGCTGTTAAAGCCTCTCTTTCACGTTGTGGGCGGTGTGAAGATAAAATACACCAGACTCTCGGTAGTGTTGCGCCGCTGCTCAACAGTCGGCGCTAAGCGTGTGAGGCGCAACTGTTCTTAGCCTTCTCGCATAAATAGCCCCCTTTGACCGACTTCGTGCTGATCTTAAGTGATTTCCTGAGACTCCTCCGTTGCTCAGCATACGCTCAAAATATGGCATCCTCTCCCATGAATAAATATTGGATTCCGCATCTTGACATCCACAAGAAGGTCATCACTCAGGAGCTCCAATACTATCTGGGGCCAGATGCCACCGTTAGACCGTATACCCGAGAAGTAGGATAACCACAATGACGAGTTGCGAATAATACATTGACTCATGCTTTTAGGGAGAGGACGGCTTCCTAATCTCTACACCCGGGCCATGCTTGACAGACGTAGGGCGATCCACCCTCCGCGAACCTTAGCGATATTAACATGCGCTCAGGAACAGATTGACGACATCTGCTTGAAATCGAAGGAGATGTGGGAGAAGCAGGCCGCAGCGCGCTCGCAATTGAATCCCGAGAGACCGCTCAAGCGCCCATTACACCAGCCAGTGTTAATATCAAATGGATCCGGGGAGAGTTCAAAGCGCCGCGGAAAAGATCGAAGAAGTCATAATTCTCGGCGACCATACGATGACAAGAAAGGGGGCGAGATGTCCCGGAAGTGAGGTTTTGCGAACTTGCAAACTGTCTGGGATGCGGCAGATCGCCGATGTAACGCAAACGCGCCGTGAGACAGGCGGGAGCACAACGCAAAGGACTCGAGGGCATGCGTCCCACCGCCGAGCGGGACTTTGGCGGCTCCAAGTTGGTCGAGAATGGGTTGTTCCTAGATTGAAAGCTGCACGAGGTAGCTGTCCTCCAGCGAGGGTTTGCCATCTGGCATTGCTGAAGCCTCTGTGGATCCTAGAGATTGAAACGTGATAGTTCAATGGTTGTCTGCATTAGGTACATAAGGCACTCAACCTGCCGCAACAAGCCAGAGAAGCTTAAGCTCTTTTTGGCGAGACCTAGTCCCCAATTGGCTTACACTAAGCATCTCACCCCGTGGTTCTGTGCATGTCATGCAGAAGTCGTGCAGGTAAGCGGACCATGCCATCTAGAAGTCGAGACAGTTAGGTAGATATAAGGCTCTATATAGCCCCTTTTTTGTTTATTCGACCTAGCTACCAATGAACGGGGTTTACCGCATAACCCACAACATTCAGGAGGTCTGAAGGTCGTGACCGGCCGAGAGCGGAGCTCATGTGAAGTAAGGTAGCACCGGAGATCGATCGGAGCTTATCTCTTGTAGAACAGCTGCGCTTCAATTGTATTTAGCTTTGCTGAGTTGGCATATAAGCCGGGGTTGGCTGCGATAGCTCTTGGCATGGCCTTTCAGCGCCTGTAAAGCCCATCAACAACCTCACCAGCCCATCGCCTGCGTTTGAATCTGCAGTAAGCAAACTTCTCGATAAAAAGCAGTCCGCGATGAGTATCAGTTTTGACAATGTAATGGTACCAAATGATAAAAATGTGCTCTAGTGACTCGTCATCTGGATAAATCCATTCGTAAGCATATTTTTTGTAATTCAGAAGAGTCCAAGCAAAGCACGATTGGCGGCTTTGAATGCACGCAGGTCCTCGATCGTTCGGTGACTACCGTCCAGGTTCCGGAGCGTTATAAGCACACACATTGATGGTTCCGCGAGTGGTATGCATCATATCGTATCTTGCTTTATTCTGCTCGTTTGGAAATCATGGGAAATTCCCCGGGCTAATTGTGTCTGAGTCTGGGTCTTCCGTTGTGGTCACTCAACCTCGGAAATGAGAGTATTCTCGTATGATGAGATATCTAGGTCACGAGCTGTCCAGAGAACAAGTGCCTGAACCCCAATGTTTTCTGTATGAGATCCCACCGTGGCTTTAGCAAACGTCCGGTCGATAGATGTGATGTAGCCTATTACATGGACCCATTGACCAATATCCGTCTGTTCGGAGTTGAGGTTCTGGAGAAGAAGTGTAACATCGGCACCGACTCTAGTGTTAGTACCTTTGGGATACTCGTGTTGAAGAGTCAACGTGGCTGAATGGGTCGAGTATCCAGTTACACTAATAATGTTATTAGTGCACACGCCCGTATGAGAAAGCCCAGTAGGTAGGTCAAGGACCGCCTCTGGGGTCTTGAGAGCTGTCATCATAAACTTTACATGATACCAAACGGCTGCAGAGGGTGCGGAGGTGTCCAAGCTCGCTCGCAAATAAAATGAGGAGAAAGAGGAAAAAGCAAATGGTCTTACCACCCAAGAAACCTGACCTTATCCCCCACGTGCCTTTTAGAAAGATGCGAGAGGAGGCAGCGTCTCGACGGAAGAGGTCCATAAGACATTGGTTAAGAGTAGATGGAGTATAGGTAGTCAACACCGTTGAAGTTTAAGAGGTGAAGAAGAAAATCAAAATCAATTGGTAGGCCGGCAGCTTCATCTAGTACAAGATAAGAAAGGGGGTTTCTATGTACGAAGAATCAATGCTTTCAGGTTATTATCTGTACCAAGGTAACAACAAATAAACTCGGCCTCTGACTTTATTAGTCGATTGCTACTGTGTACCTAGTGGCTCACTACTAATGCATCTTTAAACCTTACTGGTCACCTGGGATAGTGTATATGAGGTAGGTATGTATACTGTATTACTGACTAATCCGGCTAAATACCGGCCTGCCGGCTACTAAAAAAGGTCAGGCGTCGGTGGTGGACAGTGGGCAGTGGGCACGTTGTTACCCCCTGTCTCCCTTCTCGGCTGCGGCGTCATCCAATCCATTCTATCCATTCTGCTACCTGATCGACCTACCTAAAGCGTTAACCACTTGCATCATATCCATCTATCTGCCTAGGCCTCAACAATCTCGTGACAGTTACAGCTTCTTTTTTGCCTTTTTGATACCGCCCAAACTCCCGCTCTCCAGACAAACGTAGTCGACGGATCTGCCTTCTAAGGCACAATAAGAAAAAGCGACGTCATCTCCTTCACTACGATTCTACTGTGATCCTACCCCGCGATCGATATCTCACCGGCTATCAATCCGTACATCGAGACCCCTATCTAAGTCATACCTATCGATTCCCAACGCTCAACTCAATCAACCTCGGCTTCGATAAGTACGCGTTGTTCACCATGTCTGGCGTCTGGGCCTGGTTCGGTGGAAGCGCCGCTCAGAAGAAAAAGGACAGCCCGAAAAATGCGATTCTCGGCCTACGGTCGCAGCTCGAGATGCTGCAGAAGCGCGAGAAACATTTAATGGCACAGATGGAAGAGCAGGACGCCATCGCCCGAAAGAATGTCAATACGAATAAGAGCGGTAAGTTATTGTTCGCCGATGAATGAAACCCCACCGGACCGAGCTGACACGCAAGCGGTTAGCCGCAAAGGCCGCCTTGCGGAGGAAGAAGGGGCACGAGCACAGCCTCGAGCAGACGATATCGCAAATTGGGACATTGGAACAACAGATCAACGCTATCGAGTCGGCTAATATTAACCGCGAGACGCTTGCCGCAATGCAGAGAGCAGGCGAGGCGATGAGCGACATCCACGGGAAACTCACACCGGAAAAGGTCGACGAGACTATGTACGTCCTCCAGCTAGAACTTCGATTACTATCGGTGTATATGGCAGCTTACCAGGATATGTTAGGGACAAACTCCGAGAACAGAACGCGCTCAGCGAAGAAATCGTCGCGGCTATCACGAGCGCGCACATCGGCGAGACGGTGGACGAGGAAGATTTGAACGACGAACTAGAAGCGATGATGCAAGAACAACTCGACAAGAAGATGCTCGAATCAGGCACCGTACCAGTATCCGATGCTATCCACAGGATGCCGGCAGTCGGGAACCAAGAGAGTAAGCCTATACCTCCCCTAACGGACTTTGTCCTCCATCTACCAATGCTATCATACTAATGCTATCGAATAGTCCAAACCAAGCCACAAGCCGTTGCAGAAGACGACGACGAAGAAGAACTGCGGAAATTACAAGCCGAAATGGCTATCTGAGCGAGCTAGCCAAGATGTCTGCTTACCTTCGTGTTAGCCACAACCGCAGCTTTGGATCTTGGTAGGAGAAATAGTAATAGAGGAGTCTAGAATGGATGAATTGCAGGAAGAGGGCGTGGTCTCGATACATCCGAGCTGCGCCGCGGCCGGGACTTGGATCAGGCCATACCGGTCTAAGTGAGTTGTTAGATGCATAGCAGTCTCTTTCGAGTCATGTTTTCCCCAGTTCCTGATTACGGCGTTGGCGTTGTGAGACTACGGTGCTTCATTGGCAATTACATATTTTCAGCACGTGCAGTTGGTGGATGGGAGATGGTGGTCTATCTACCTACGTAAGCTTTGCTCGCATCAATATTACCAGCGCGAGACTAGTTTTTAAAGCATCTACATACTTCCACGACCTAGGCTAGTGACTTGTACGGATATTGACATGTTGTAAGCACCTGTTATCTCTTCATCGGGATTGTAGACAGGGTTAGGAAGTAGACACTGAAGCCCCTTAATCCATCCAGGCTCTCGATAAATGGCGGGTAGGAGTCCTTTGAGAGATATAAGTACAGCTCTTGACTCAATCAAATAGTAGTTACCTGTTTTACTCCTAAAAGAATCGTTACATTCATTCAATGAAGAATCTCTTTACGCGGAACCTATTTTTCATATCGTATTATTTTATCAGACTGGCTAGAGCTAAGGGTTTTCTATAGTTGATCCATGATAGTAAATAATAATCTAGGCTGATTCCTTGGGGAGCTTGCCATAAGCAACCAGAAAGTATAGATAATTAAGTCAAGTCTATAGGAGACTTTGATTGTTATTTTTTTGTGATGAAATAAAATAGAATCCCAAGTCAACAGCCCTATGGAGTAGGTATGCTGAAATACAAGATTGCCGGAATCTGAGTGACTCTGAAATTTCTCCATTTTAACAGAACCAAGGCCTGGGTATATCCTCCTTGAATAAGCCTCAGGCGCCTAAATGGTACACGCCAAACAGAACCTTCGAGAATTTGTCGCCTTAATAGGTAGCTGATGAACCAACCAACTTACAAGCCAGCCAAGCCATATGTGCAAGGTGTGCTTCCCTTCAGAAATCCCGATACCTCCCCCTTCTTTTTTCATTCGATCTTTAGTGACCCAGGACAGTCTTGATATTACCATGGATATCGACACGCCTGTCACCCTTCCCCCTTGGACTGAGGACCCCGATTCGATGGACTTGGACATTAACCCCATTGGAATCGGCTAATATCGGATCGGGAACGTCTCTGCTGTCGTCCAGAAGTCTCAGCAGCCCAGGTTTGCAATGATTCCACGGATAGAAGTGTGTCGCAGAAGAACGTCAGAAGTCTTGCAGAACAACCACAGAAGTGTCGCAGAAGAACGACAGAAGTTCCCATTTGTCAACCATTTCTAAGCTCATTCTGGACGCTGCACCGTAAAATTCTCTCGCATACCATTGGTCGTACATTGGTGCGTATCCTTTCCATCGCACAAGGTATTCTAATGTTGGTGTTCCTTGCCTATTAATACGTCTTTTTAGCAGTTTCTCGATTTCGTATGACAACCAATCGTCATTGTCGCCTTCTACCACAATTCGACCGGGTTGGGGCTTTCTCCGGTTGTGTGGATCTACTCCTTGCGGTAGTGTGATGCCTGATGGCCCTTAAGTGCGCAAATCCACACGACATAAAAGAGGTGTTTTCCCGTGAGGCACCCGTCAATTAAGCCAACCAACCTCAAGTTTCAAGCCTTGGGGGACTAAGGTAATTCTAGGTACGGCTTTATATCTGGTAGTTAATGTTTCGATGATAAGTTCTTCTTGTTGCTCTGTCATTCGTGGCAAGCGATCTATGGCCCGAGTGCTGGTGGCGTTGATAGCCATTAAGTTCTGGAACCTCTCCACGCCGCTTGCTCATCCGCGTCAGGGTCCTTAACCCTGAACGAGTAAACCCTGACGCGGTGGCTGTCCCCCCCAAGCGTAGCTTATTTTCAGAAGAGTCTCAAGGTGTTTCAAGAGACGTCAGATGCCCTGAGTCTATATCCAGACCACAGTAGATTCGATGGCAAGTCTTAGAGGTGTTGAATATCCTTCAGGTCCTCGACCAGTTGACCAGACTGATGTTCGATGTTGTCGTCTGAAGACGAGGCTGTTTCGAACAGTCTTCTGGCAACGTTCTTAGTAGCTCCGGTGGACTGGCGAGTCGTTGGCTTAGAACGAGGCTTGATTCGAGCCTTCTTGACAACCTTGTTGGTTGACTGGCCGGCGAGTCCGCCAACATCCTCGTCCATAGATTCAGCCATGGTAGTTGAATCAACGTAGCAGATTTGTTGTTGATGTGAAGGATAGAGGGATTTCGGGTGAATGGTGCGAAATTATATACGCGTAGAAAGTGAAAACAAAAGGAAGGAGCAACCTAAGAAAGTGTACATGAGTATTTTTGACAGGCTCGTGGTCCCGGAGCCTAGACTCGGACTCAGGCTCGAACTCGGGCTCAGGCTCGGGCTCGGACTCAGGCTCTCGGGCTCGGACTCGCCCACGTGGTTAGAGCTCGGGTAATAAGAACTAAATTCTGTAGTTTAGGGTTGCACCTCTGGAAAGGCGACGTTTCTCCTTGGATATAGATTCCTTGAACAATTCCTTTGTGGTAGGATTCTTCGTCGCCGCGAGAATAACGTGGTCGTCTGATATTTCTTATGTATGTTAGCTGGTCTGACGTTGGGGTGTTTGTTTTTTCAGGAGCCATTTGTTTGGATGCCGCCCATTCAGAGGTTGCTTGTTGATTATATTGCAAGCCCATGAGCAGGATATCAGGTTGTGTTACGGGTATGTAACTGTGTGCCTCGTTTAGGCAACCTTAGGTTACCATGGTGAACGTGATGGAGGTGCTGCAAGATGAATGATGGATATACCCAAAAATGATTGTCTGTGCCTCACGACCTTCACAAGTGGCTTCTTCCATCGCCTTCTTCCATCGCGATGAGCAAATCTTATTAGTTCGAAACCATAGTTATTGCTTTTCGAATATAGAAGTGGATTATTTATGGTGTTTTTCGCTGAATGAAGTGTAGTTTGTTAGGGTTGATGCTAGTTGTGGTTGTTTATATTGTGGTTTGTTTAGGTTGTAGCCGAGTTAAAGATGTAGTAGTCCGTGCCGAGGTGACTGAGACTTGGGCAGAGCGCGTTGAATGGCACTTTATGTTCTCGTGTGGAACTGGTCTTGTATTGCGGAAGCGTTGTTGAATCTAGAAAGACTACGGGACCACGTCTGTTTATATACCCAGCCCTGGGGCCTCGTTCCTTCCCTTGATGCTATGTCCGTGACTCACGATGGTGACGTGGACCACCTGCCAACATCTCGGAAATAATAAAAAGTAGTATCGCAATGTAGAATGTATGAACCTGGGTGGGTTGCGATGGATAATGAGTTGTGTCCTGGATATTCTAGATTAATAACGGTGGGGAGATGATGTTATGCTCTTCAGCTTGGACCTGCCAGGTTGGTATTAGAAATAGGGAAGGTGGCAGAAACAATTCTACGGTAAGAAGAAGTTACGTATCAAGTCCTCTCTGAGAAGAAGCATCCTTCCTTCCTAAAGAAGTTTCAAAAGTTCAACCCGACCCAACCCACAGCAAGGACTACTAATCGGGGAGAAGAGGAGAAGGGCAGTTGCCTCTCATCATCATCGCTGCTGCTGCAAGTTTAGAGTTGGTCTATTTTTCACCAATATCCAGGCACTTTCCCTGTACTTTACTAACTCGCTTCAGTAAAGGGGTTTAAAACGAAGCCCTGTCCTAAGACCTATGTAACGACTCGTAGCCGCCTCATTGGTATAGCTCTCTAACTCGCCTAATAATGTTGAAGTCGACTTCGAGTATGCCTGACAGACCGTACCATTATCATTACCCCTTCTCGTTTTCAATAGGTCACAAAGCTCTCTTGGACCGTCTATTTATAATCAAGCGCCTATACAGCCCTGAAGCCTCTAGAGCAGTCCTAAAATCTTCTTAGAATAATGTACGCAAGAATGAGAGGTTGTAGCAGTACACTCCGTGAAGGTTGCCAGTTATAGTAAGACAGGCGTCATAGTAGAAAGCCCAAAGACGTAGCTTTACGTTAAATGTGAATGTGCTAGGGTTATAAGTTTAGGGATAATTATGCCTCGATATCTACCTAGGTACCTACTTAATCAATATGTTCAAAGAGTTACATCCATGTCCACTAGACTTAACAGCTAAAGAAGAGACGTAGTTCTAGATTTTTTGACAACGATACTAGCACTGTTAAATTTTAATCCGGCAGCTTCTTAAGCATTAAGCTCGCCATTGTCAGTACAGGGTGGGTTTCTTGTTAAACACTGTAATATACATATGCTAAAAGTGTCAGGGTATAGTGGGTCAGGATGGCTACAGGGGTCTATACGAGTATATAAGAGGCGCGAAGCGCCCTCGTCAGGTTAGAAAGGCCAGGCGTTACTAAGTTCAATACAACTACTACTTGGTCTACCTACCCTAGACATTCACTCTATGCGTGATTCACCTCATTAGGGCACCCTTTCCTGACAAAAAGACACTTAAATATACATGTATTAACACTTTTCCCGTTTTCGAAAATTTCGTTCAATAATAGCAATTACATGGTCAAAAGTTTAATAATAGTGCTGTTTACCACAAGACATCACATATTATACATGAAATTAATTGCGAGAGACAAGGGAAAAGGGCGTGAATTGACTTTTAATTAAAAATGAACTCTCTAGGTGCGAACCCAAAGAGTCATAAAGCTAGAAAACATCTTAAGGGATAGTTTTACAGAGAGATCTTTTCAACTACACTTAACCACCCTATGTAAGAGCCTAATATGAATACCTAGGTAGCATCGTAAGCGTAACACGGCGTATAGTGTGTTACAACATGGGGTAAAAATCTACCTAAAGGCGACGTAGTAATAATGACTAAGAATAACTATAGTAACAACCGGTTCGAATATGGATTGGCTTTATATGCTGCTGAATCAATACAGCAATAGTTTATTCGCACGCAAACAGTCTGTTCTTTCGGGATATGTATTTTCTGGCTTAGTCTTAACTATCAGCCTGGCATTTGCCTGCTTGAAGCAGGCTACGTATATGTATGCTTGATATCACCGATAGTTGGGATTCATCCAATCAAAGATAAACCGGTAAACTGCGTTCTTAAGACATACCTAAGGAAAAGACCGCGCACTTATTTCCATCTATTCTAAGTCTACCTTGTGATACTATGTAGTAAATCACGAGTAGCTTCAACTCGCATGCGGTTGATCTAGATGAAGAGGGTAGGTTAAAACTCGTAATTAGGGGGTGAATGACACCCCGCTAGTAGTCAATTCCAAAAAGAAATTCAACTACAGAGTCTCGAGCGATAATATAATCAACTCTAGCATATTTAGGTCCAAAGACATCTAGAAGGTCCAACTGCATTACCCCAGCCGTTAGAATGCCGTCTTGAGCAGTTTACACTACCTTCTCTTCTATCAAAATAACATATTATAGAAGGCCCATTAAAAGGAAGCTCGGTTTAGCACTACTCTTAATAAATAACGTGAAAGCTTCACCCTTGTTTCCTGTCTGCCTGTTGGCTAGCCAGAACCCATATAACGATGAGCTATAAGATAGAAGTGGAAAAGTCCAAGGCTGGAATACATTCCTGCATCATAGCCCCATATAAATATGCTGTTTGAAAGGGAGTAGCGAGAAAAGGGCATAATATGTATACCTGACATATTACCTACCTAGGTACCTAATGTAGGGTATTCACGTGTGCTCTTATATCTACATAGGTTCTGCTGTATGAAATATGTCGTGATATGCCCCGTGATAATGCTGCAGGGTAGTATTTGGGCGCTGCTTCTAGGAGAACACGAAGTTCGCACATCATGCTATTATTACTCATTAACATGAGCTGAGGGTTTTACATAAGTAGAATATGCGGCTTGGTTAGTTGTATGAAGAAAATGGAACTACGGCATAGGTAGGATCAAGTATGATGGTGGTCAGTACCTGAGACCTCGAATGCTTTCGGGTAGTACATATGAGGTGGCGAGGCTGCAATCTCTCGTAATCTTATAACTGTCACGCGATGGACATTGTACAACTAAGGAGATAATATCCCTCGGTTTCAGTGATACGTGTCGATATTACGTCGTACAAATGTACCCGGGCTATGTACATGTGAGGCTCGCAGAGATTAATATTATTAGTAATACCCAGCAAGTCGATTTATTAGAAAGCTTTGTTTTTTTAATACGCATTTCCCAATGATCCAAATACGGTTAGTCGGCAGCGAAAATAGAATACGTACCCCCAAATAGCGTACCATATACCGTAAACTCACGATAGCCTCAATATCTCACTTTAACACTTTGGCATTGTTGCGCTAAACTCGGAACCTAAAACCGAAGCCATCGGCTTTAGTTTTTAACGTATATAATTGGAAAGTTTCGCCGGCAAAACTTTCCAATTACCTAGCACAACTCGTTATGCTACAGGGTATTTTAGATTAAATCGGACATCGTCGGGCTCGAAATCGGTTGGCGTAATTACACTCTTAGTTACCGTGTTGATGTCGGGCCTTCTGAAAATGGCAGCCGCTCAAAAAGTTAATTCACAGTTCTGGCCCATCCCACCGCCTAGCGAGGGGTCCTCTAGCTCTGAGCCTATCTCCTCACGATGGAATCAGCATCCCCGTCCTTCTCAGTCTCAAATTTACCCACTACAATGGCCTCAGATATAGATCAAAGAAATGGCATACCTACGATTCGATTCACAAATATCGAAGACCTCTTTAAGGCAGTCGGACAGGTCCAGGGCGACTTTCTCATAGTTCAGAGTATATTTCCTTGGCCCTTACTTCTCAAGGATTATTTACTAATTAATAAATAGAAGTCCCTCTTTCTGATTTCGAGGAGCTGTGTCTCCGAGAAAAACGCCCTTTTCGTATCCGCCGGTACCATGCTAGTGAGGGTATCCTGATTGTTACGATCCCTACCGAGCTACATGAATCACTTCACCTTGACCTCCATCGCATATATGACCATAAGCTTTTTAGAAATGGTCAAGCAAGAGGTTGGAAAGCAATTGGTAGCACTACCTTTCGACCACGAGGCCATCCTGGAGGTGATGGCGGAGAAGGCGATTCATCCGGCGGCCCAAAACCAACACGTCATGCTATAGGTGCCTGGCCAACGTTGGTCATAGAAGCTGGAGATTCTGAGTCTCTATCTGCCCTCCAAGATGACATGAGGTGGTGGTTTTCAGCGTCAGACCACGACGTTAAGATTGTGCTTCTCACCAAGTTTGATCACCAGAACCAAAGGATTATCATCGAGAGATGGGAAGAAGAGTCACAGAATCTCCAAGGAGCTACAAATACACGACGGGTAACCAGTGGTAATACTCTCCAACCAGTATTACGGCAAAGTATCGTCATTACACGGGATATCCCCACCGATTCATATCATGTCACTAGAGGTGCATTGGTGCTTTCGTTTCGGCTTCTCTTTCTACGAGATCCTGGTCCGCAAGAAAGCGATTATATTATAAGTATTACAGAGTTGCAGGACTATGCACGAGATGTTTGGGTTTATGTTTAAGATTGAGTAATGTGAGGAAGTACTTGGGTACCTCTGTATCGGGCCTTATCGATGGGCCTTATCGATAGGTAGTCGTTACCCTCCGGCACCCCAACTATGTACCTACGGAATATGATCAACCCCAATTGACCCCCATTATTTGTCAATTAATTTTGTTTAAACTCGTCTTGCAACTCGCGGAAGCTCTTCCAACTTTATTTCTAATCGTCAGAGTTAGCTGCATTATTTCCTCACTTGCCATACTGGCGGGTGCGGGCGTCCTTCAATTAAACCGGACAATCGAGAGACAAGACAGATCTCAACCAACTGTGTCGGCCCAATAAGGCTTCATCAGTTCCCGCCCCGCTCGCCCTGCGTAGTGATTGGTTTTGCTGCCGTCGGATCCATCCATCTACTCAAAATCAAAGCCAACGAGGACGACCACGTTGCACACGACACTACATTGGTCCTGTCGGTTAGGCGGCTTCACCCACCCACCGCGGACCAATTCAGGGACCATTCAGAGACCATTCGGAGATGATTTAAACACTTGCTTCTTGTACCGTTTCATTATTGGAGAAGGGAGGACATGTCGAAACCCAATGAGCCTTCTTGAGTCCTTGAGTCTAGGCTTATCACCCGCTATCTTTCAATATCCGCTCCCGAGCATGGCCAAGTGGTTATGCATCATGCTGTCAAACTTCCGTCTAGCTCCTCATCCCGCCCAGTCCCATCTCCCGGAATCTTTTCTACGTGGGTCTGACCCATTCTTATTCCGTCTGTTTGCAGTCCCTATCGATTCTTGGACCGCTACCAACTTCCTTGTCGAGTCGTAACGTTTGCCATTTATGTTCTTTACTTGGAAATTTCGCGATTGACTACTCTGGTCCCAGATCCAGATCTGTCTCAACCCTTGCCCAACCCCCTCGCGACGTGGCGCCAATACCATCGTATCCATCCGCGGCTCTTGAGCACGATATGGATCACAGAAGCGTGAGATCTCACTCCACTTTCCCTCGTTCAAACCGTGGGGTATGTCTCATCTAAGTAGGTAGTTCATCTCTCGATACCTATGCTCGATAGGTAATGTAGCCTAGGTAGTCATCAATTATGTCTACGTCTTATAGTTGGTCCCGTTCTTCCAAACGTCATTTATCATTCCGAGCTCGCATTGAGAGAATTCTTTTACACCCCATACGCCCATCATCTGTCCAGTTAACTCATTCCCCTCCCATCCATCACCAGAGCCGTAATTATTTTTAATAGGTAGAGCCTAACATGGTTTGCTCTATTTTCATCTAGCCGTCGCATTTCGTTTGAGCCAGATACCCAATAGCTGTATTTGGCAGCTCAGTTGCCCAATAGCTTGCTAGTCTCTGCAAATACCCGAATCGTACTCGTCACTCTGCATAGGGAACATTGGGACTGAGATAGTTTTTAAATCACGGGCAAGACGTGCTTTTCGCGCGCACCGACGGAATATGTCGGACCAAGGAGGAATTTCGTATAGTCCTGCCCGGGTCAATCCATTTGCAAATGTCCAAGTAGCTAGCTACCCAGAGCACGTTCAGGTAGCTAATTACTCGCAAATAACATATCTTAATACTCAGGAATCAGAAGAAGAGGAAGAAGAGCCCGTAGACCAAGGTATAAGAGTTAATCATCCAATTGAATTGTTTGCGCTAACACTCTCCACAGAGTATGAGCCGGCATACGATGTAAATGAAGAGCCGTTTGAGCCTCCAGCACTCCACAGATCCCCACCTGCGATATCTTCACCCACGATATCCTCACCCCCCGTAACATTACCTAAGGCAAAGAAAGAAAAGGTTAAATCACCTACGCCCAAAGAAGCTACTCCGGTGAAGCAGCCCAGTAAACCACTCACAACACAGCAAAAGAAGCAAGCCAAAAAGAGGGAAAGGGAAAAGGCTAAAAAGAAGACGAAAAATGAGACGAAGATGACACCAAACACCGAATCGTCAGAACCCCCACCCCTTCCAGCATCTGAAGTTATTCCAGCCGAGCCTTCTCCGGTCGAGGCTAATAAGTCGGAGGACGCGGCCCCGTCACCACAGCCGACTGACTCGAGCTCATCTAAACCTCCCGAGCCCTCTGAGCCTCCTGAACCCCCCGAACAACCTAATGAGCATGAAGCAGCAGAAGTGACGGATAAGCAAGTAGGAGAGGCTGAAACCACATCGCCTGTCGAATCAGAAAGCATACCTTCGGGTGAACAGTCTAATGAACAAGAGACCAGAGAGCCGGCTTCGGAAACTGTGAGTCTACCAATCTGATAATTTAGACCGTCATATATAAATACTAGCCTAGGCAGTATACGGCTGGGCTTTTGATGGTCGCGCTTAGAGTTACTAACATATTCTAGGCCCCCGAGGTCGAGGTCTCTGAGTCTCCTCAATTAGAGAAATCGGAGGTAGCTGCTGGTACACATCCAATCAGTACTACCGACAGCGATACGCCCGCAGATATACAAGAGCCCAACGCACCAGCCCCCAGTACCGAGGAATCTAAGCTTGATACAAGCGAGCAGGATCCAAAGGTGGCTAGTGAAGCCAACGGAGAGCTTCCTGACGAAAAAAATGACCAGGAGACCACAGCAACTACAGACGCGGGAGCTGTATCAGAGTCTCAAGCAGGGGAAGCCGCAGATGAGCCAGCAGCTGAGCCTGATAATCCCGAGCCGGAAAAGTTAGAAGATGTCCACGAGGATAATTCAAAAGAAGAAAGTAGTGATTCTCAAGATGCTGCTCATGAAAGCGCATCTAATAGCGAGCCAAACCCAGCCGTTGCCGTCGAGACAAACGAGCCCCCTGGCGAGCTAAGTGCGGATGCAAAACCGGTTCAGGAAAGCGATGAAACGGAACAGCCGGCCGAGGCACAGAAAGCCGAAACGGTTGAGGGCGTCAATGAGACACTACCAGATGGGAATCCTACCAATAGCACGGGTGAAAACCTTGAGAACCCTGAGGGCCCTCAAGATCCTAAAACGGAACCGAACGACGAGAATACCGCGACTGGAGAAGAAGCGCTACCACCTAACAACAAAGATGAGCTTAGTGGTGAGACTATCAAACAGGATGTTACCAGCGATCCAGAGCCATCCGAGGTCGCCCCAGAGAGTCCAAATGCCCCCCAACTTGAGGAGACGACACCAGCTACTGCCGAGCCAGTGACCGAGCCACAAGAACAGATCAATAATAGCGAAGTGACTGAACTCCCAGGCGCCAAGGATGACGAGAGCCAAGCTGTGGCTGACCCTGAGGATGCTGCAAACCTAAAGGAAACTGACAATACAAACTCGGTGGATACGCCTGCGAAACTACCGTCAGAGAGTGAAAGTGCCACTCAAGCAGATGGCCCAACCGAAGAGCATCCCGGCGATTCCGCCGCCGTAGAAAGCCAGGAACAGGCGGAGCAATCCGGACAGGTTGCAAATATCCCGGACCCGGTCGCTGTCGATGTTCCAGAGGTTCCGGCTATCCAGTCAAATGACGACGCAGAGAAGCTCCCTGAAGCAGGTTCAGAGCCTACAGAAGGGCCTGAGGATCCAAAGATACCTGACGAAGCAGTTCCAGAACCAATAGAGGATACGAATGATGTTAGTAACGTCGAATCTGCTCCCGGGGAGTCAGTCAAACCTCAAGAACCTGAAATTGCTCTTGGCTCTGAAGCCAAAGAGGAGCCTATAATCCCCGAGCAAACAGCTACAGAGTCCCTGTCCGCGACCGAGTCGCCTGTTAATATCCCCGCCGCTGAGGCTGTCCCAGCACAGGATGAACCTGCTTCTCAGGAACCTGTTCCTGAAAACTCTGCTCCTGAGGCGCCAATTCCCGCAGAGCCCGTTTCGGAAGAACCGGCCTCTCAAGAACCTACTTCTGGAGGGGACGGTTTGGAAGAACCAATTTCCTCAAATTCCGACTCTCAAGACACCGTTTCTCAGGAAACTGCCACGAAAGAGACGGTTGGTGAAGAACCTAGTCCCCAAGAGTCCACTTCCCAAGAAGCTGCCCCCAAAGAGCTTGTTACTGAAGACCCGGCCCCTCAAGAACCTACTACCCCTGTTTCTGAAGATCAAGTCCTTCAGGAAACCGCCCCCGAAGAAAGTATCTCCCAAGACACTCCTCAGGAAAATACCTCTCAAGAACTGGTCTCCAAAGAACCTACCCCCGAAGAGTCTGTGCCCCAAGAAGCAATCCCTAATGAAACTATCTCCGAAGACCTGGTCTCTGAAGAAGCTGTCAAAGACTCCACTCAAGACTCAGACTCTCAGAAACTCGGTTCTGAACAAACTGTTCCACCGGAGCCTGTTTCCGAAGAGTCTGCTTCCCAAGAACCTATCCTCCAAGAAGCTGTCCCCGAAGAACTTGCTGAAAATCCTGCCCCTCAAAAGCTTTCTGCTGAAGATCTCGTTCCTCAAGGCTCAGATCCCCAAGAAACCGTTATCAAAGAATCTATTTCCCAAGAAAATGACCCACAAGACGCGGTCTCCCAAGATCCCGTTCCTCCAAAAAATACTTCTCAAGAGCCCGCTCCCCAAGAGTCAGTTAGCGATGATTCGAATCCACCGCAGGAGCCCAATCTCCAAGGTGAAATTCCAGTAGCATCCCAAGATGATATAAAAGGCTTACCGGAAACGTCTCCCGAAGAATCTGAGCAACCCACTGATCCAGAGGTAAATCTACCCATCAATGATAGTAATAAGCAACTATCTGATCAGCCAGATACTCAATCCAATACTAATGATAGTGATGAGCAGCCAATTTCCGAATCCGCCCCGGTGTCCACTGATGAGCCCATACAAGAGTCTGCTCAGGAAATAACTCCTTCTGAGCAGCCTATCACAAACGAGGATAACTCATTGAAGTCGCTACCAGCAGATTCAGATGACAAGAATCTGACCGATGCCAGCAACTCATTATCCGAAGATGAGTTTGTTATCGTCGATAAGACAGACGGTGAAGGGAATCAGATTATGGACAGCCCAGAACAGCGGGAACGACTAAATGATGCGAAACTGAATGACTCCTCACAACCAAATCCTGGTGAGGAACATCAAATTATAACCCCGAATGAGACCACTAGTCAGGATCATCAAGGAGAAGGCGAGAGTTCGTCTCCTTCTGATGAATCTCAGGAGCTTCCAGAAAATGGGGATGATGATGCGTCCGATAGTGCGCAGCCTCATGATTCTAACAGTTCAAGTGCCGAAGCAGACACCACAAAACCTGTGGAGCCGTCTCTTTCAGAAGACACTACGCCATCTCAGGTAGGTGAGGAACATGAACAAGAGGTCGAGAAACAAGAACCCGATCAGCAGGCTAGCATTCTCGCTGAACAGAAGGTTGAATCGCACGATGGTGTGGAAACTCCCAAGGACGAAGAAAAAACGCCCCAAGAACCCGCCCCAGAGGTTATTAATGACCAAACTGCAGATGTCAATGCTGAATTATCAGAACCCCAGGCCGACAGCGATTCACAAAGCACCGGCATAAAAGAAAAGGAGAAGCCTATTGATCCCAGCGCCTCCGGCCCGGAAGTAATCATCGAGTCTGAGGACCCGGTTCCGAAGGAAGATTTAACAGAGCCTCCCCCTGATGTCGGAAAAGAGGGCGTCGAAGGGGAGGCATCAATTGAGCATGGTCCCGACGACGGTGTGACTCAGCCAACGCCACCAAACGAGGCTGTTCTCAACGACCAGGGAGCTCCCAAATCCGAGGCGCCAGTTTTGAATGACGTTTCTCCCGGCCAATCTGAGTCTGATCTCACTGAAACTACCCTTTCAGCCGAAGCCGAATCGTGTCCAATTGTCCTAACCGAGCCAGAGTCGTCTCAGCAGATGGAAGATAAACAGGAATCTGGCAGCCAGCCAGATCTTGAGACTGGATCCCCACCCAAACTCCTTCCAGAAGATCCCGTGGAAGTGCCAGCCAGTTCGCCAGAAACTGAGAAGCAACTAGATCAAACTTCACTCCCTAGAAATGAGTCGGATGGCGAAAAGATACCTCAAGAGGCTACAAACCTCGGCGAGACCAATGGTGAGGAGGAGAAAATATCCGGGGAAACGTATTCTCCAGACCAACCAACGGAGCCAGTGTCGGTCGATCCCGAGACAGAAAAACACGGTGACCTTCAGTCTACGCTTCCTTCCGACCCTGGTCAAGAAGAGCAGTTGGATTCAAAATCAAGCCCAATTCTAGAAGAAGCCGAACAGCCCGACGAAAACGAAAAGCCTGAAGAGGCGGGGGAAAATAGTACAGAGGAGCAGGATAAGGCTCACGAGATTCCCCGTGAAACCCTAGAGCCCGTTGAGATACTGTCGGCGATTTCACAAGATCAAACCAACCTAGATCAGACTGAGCCAGATGCTCCAATATTATCCGAGCCAAAGGAGTTGATATCTCAGGCGCCCACCCATAATTCGCAGGGACCTGAGACTGAGGATAAAGGAGAAGAGGTTATCGACAAAGCACAGGAACAGGAGCCCGCGCCCTCACCTTTGCCAACGGAATCTCTAACCGACCCCCTACAGCCGTCTATTCATGAGAACGGCGAGTCGCAAGTTGTGACGCCTTCGGAGTCGGTCTTGGCTCAGGAAACAAAATCCGAGCAAAATTTGGATTCCCACGAGGGCGCAAGTTCTGAGTCCTCACAAATCCCCCCTGATCATAAACAGGCTGTTATCGAAGAGCCGGAACCAGAGCCAACACCGAATGAGGTTATTCAAGGAGGATCAGCTATCCCAGAAAAGGCCAATACGGAGAGCCAGACAGTTTCCGATGAGCATAATTTCGTCGAACAGACTTCTGTTACCCCTGTTGATGACCAAGCTTCCGTCGAAATTCAGGATTCCCAAGACCATGTCTCTGTTGACCCAATCTCCACCAAAGAACAAGCCACCGTGGAGGACCAGCCAAAGGAAGAAATGCCGACCGAACTTCCTATGTTAATTCAACCTCAGGAAAACGAGGTAAAAGAAACCACAGATAACAATAGTCCAGCCGTGCCGGAAGAGCCCGCTATTGAATTAGCAGATAAGGTTGATAAGGAGCCCGAGGCTTCTGAGCCCATTCAAGAGGAAGCCCTTGCCGAGAGCCAAGTCCCTGTTGATCAAATGCCTACAGAAGACCAACCGGTGGAAGATAAACCTACGGAGGATACGCCTACAGAGGACCAGATCTCTGCTGGGGGCCAATTCCCTATCGAGAGCCAGGCACCTATTGAGGACAAAGAGGTTATAGAGCATGACACGCCTATTGCTCCTAGCACTTTAGAAGATCATTCCAGCGATGCTACTCCAGTAGCAGTTGATT